CAGATGAGACCATTTGTGGTTGTAATTGTTTTAGGCCGTCCATTCTAACCACTGTATGGTTGTAATTGTTTTTGGCCGTCCATTCTAACCCATGCACCAGATGAGACCATGTATGGTTGTAATTGTTTTAGGCCGTCCATTCTAACCCCTGCACCAGATGAGACCATTTATGGTTGTAATTGTTTTAGGCCGTCCATTCTAACCCATGAACCAGATGAGACCATGTATGGTTGTAATTGTTTTAGGCCGTCCATTCTAACCACTGTATGGTTGTAATTGTTTTTGGCCGTCCATTCTAACCCATGCACCAGATGAGACCATTTGTGGTTGTAATTGTTTTAGGCCGTCCATTCTAACCACTGTATGGTTGTAATTGTTTTTGGCCGTCCATTCTAACCCATGCACCAGATGAGACCATGTATGGTTGTAATTGTTTTAGGCCGTCCATTCTAACCCATGCACCAGATGAGACCATGTATGGTTGTAATTGTTTTAGGCCGTCCATTCTAACCCTTGCACCAGATGAGACACTATATGGTTGTAATTGTTTTTGGCCGTCCATTCTAACCCATGCACCAGATGAGACCATGTATGGTTGTAATTGTTTTAGGCCGTCCATTCTAACCCATGCACCAGATGAGACCATTTATGGTTGTAATTGTTTTAGGCCGTCCATTCTAACCCATGCACCAGATGAGACCATGTATGGTTGTAATTGTTTTAGGCCGTCCATTCTAACCCCTGCACCAGATGAGACCATGTGGTTGTAATTGTTTTAGGCCGTCCATTCTAACCCCTGCACCAGATGAGACCATTTATGGTTGTAATTGTTTTAGGCCGTCCATTCTAACCCCTGCACCAGATGAGACACTATATGGTTGTAATTGTTTTTGGCCGTCCATTCTAACCCATGCATCAGATGAGACCATGTATGGTTGTAATTGTTTTTGGCCGTCCATTCTAACCACTGTATGGTTGTAATTGTTTTAGGCCGTCCATTCTAACCCATGCACCAGATGAGACCATGTGGTTGTAATTGTTTTAGGCCGTCCATTATAACCCATGCACCAGATGAGACCATGTATGGTTGTAATTGTTTTTGGCCGTCCATTCTAACCCATGCACCAGATGAGACCATGTATGGTTGTAATTGTTTTAGGCCGTCCATTCTAACCCATGCACCAGATGAGACCATGTATGGTTGTAATTGTTTTTTGCCGTCCATTCTAACCCATGCACCAGATGAGACCATGTATGGTTGTAATTGTTTTAGGCCGTCCATTCTAACCCTTGCACCAGATGAGACACTATATGGTTGTAATTGTTTTAGGCCGTCCATTCTAACCCCTGTATGGTTGTAATTGTTTTTGGCCGTCCATTCTAACCCATGCACCAGATGAGACCATATATGGTTGTAATTGTTTAAGGCCGTCCATTCTAACCCCTGTATGGTTGTAATTGTTTTTGGCCGTCCATTCTAACCCATGCACCAGATGAGACCATGTATGGTTGTAATTGTTTTTGGCCGTCCATTCTAACCCATGTACCAGATGAGACCCTGTATGGTTGTAATTGTTTTTGGCCGTCCATTCTAACCCATGCACCAGTTGAGACCCTGTATGGTTGTAATTGTTTTTGGCCGTCCATTCTAACCCTTGCACCAGATGAGACCATTTATGGTTGTAATTGTTTTAGGCCGTCCATTCTAACCCATGCACCAGATGAGACCATGTATGGTTGTAATTGTTTTTGGCCGTCCATTCTAACCCGTGCACCAGATGAGACCCTGTATGGTTGTAATTGTTTTTGGCCGTCCATTCTAACCCATGCACCAGTTGAGACCCTGTATGGGTGTAATTGTTTTTGGCCGTCCATTCTAACCCTTGTACCAGATGAGACCATTTATGGTTGTAATTGTTTTAGGCCGTCTATTCTAACCACTGTATGGTTGTAATTGTTTTAGGCCGTCCATTCTAACCCTTGCACCAGATGAGACCATGTATGGTTGTAATTGTTTTTGGCCGTCCATTCTAACCCATGCACCAGATGAGACACTATATGGTTGTAATTGTTTTAGGCCGTCCATTCTAACCCCTGTATGGTTGTAATTGTTTTTGGCCGTCCATTCTAACCCATGCACCAGATGAGACACTATATGGTTGTAATTGTTTTAGGCCGTCCATTCTAACCCCTGTATGGTTGTAATTGTTTTTGGCCGTCCATTCTAACCCCTGCACCAGATGAGACCATGTATGGTTGTAATTGTTTTAGGCCGTCCATTCTAACCCCTGTATGGTTGTAATTGTTTTAGGCCGTCCATTCTAACCCATGCACCAGATGAGACCATGTATGGTTGTAATTGTTTTAGGCCGTCCATTCTAACCCATGCACCAGATGAGACCATGTATGGTTGTAATTGTTTTTGGCCGTCCATTCTAACCCATGTACCAGATGAGACCATGTATGGTTGTAATTGTTTTTGGCCGTCCATTCTAACCCATGTACCAGATGAGACCATGTATGGTTGTAATTGTTTTTGGCCGTCTATCCTAACCCATGCACCAGATGAGACCATGTATGGTTGTAATTGTTTTTGGCCGTCTATCCTAACCCATGCACCAGATGAGACCATGTATGGTTGTAATTGTTTTTGGCCGTCCATTCTAACCCATGCACCAGATGAGACACTGTACGGTTGTAATTGTTTTAGGCCGTCCATTCTAACCCCTGTGTGGTTGTAATTGTTTTAGGCCGTCCATTCTAACCCTTGCACCAGATGAGACCATGTATGGTTGTAATTGTTTTAGGCCGTCCATTCTAACCCATGTACCAGATGAGACCATGTATGGTTGTAATTGTTTTTGGCCGTCCATTCTAACCCATGTACCAGATGAGACCATGTATGGTTGTAATTGTTTTAGGCCGTCCATTCTAACCCATGCACCAGATGAGACCATTTGTGGTTGTAATTGTTTTAGGCCGTCCATTCTAACCACTATATGGTTGTAATTGTTTTTGGCCGTCCATTCTAACCCTTGCACCAGATGAGACCATTTATGGTTGTAATTGTTTTAGGCCGTCCATTCTAACCCATGCACCAGATGAGACACTATATGGTTGTAATTGTTTTAGGCCGTCCATTCTAACCCTTGCACCAGTTGAGACCCTGTATGGTTGTAATTGTTTTTGGCCGTCCATTCTAACCCTTGCACCAGATGAGACCATTTATGGTTGTAATTGTTTTAGGCCGTCCATTCTAACCCATGCACCAGATGAGACCATGTATGGTTGTAATTGTTTTTGGCCGTCCATTCTAACCCATGTACCAGATGAGACCATGTATGGTTGTAATTGTTTTTGGCCGTCTATTCTAACCCATGCACCAGATGAGACCATGTATGGTTGTAATTGTTTTAGGCCGTCCATTCTAACCCATGCACCAGTTGAGACCCTGTATGGTTGTAATTGTTTTTGGCCGTCTATTCTAACCCATGCACCAGATGAGACCATGTATGGTTGTAATTGTTTTTGGCCGTCCATTCTAACCCATGCACCAGATGAGACACTGTACGGTTGTAATTGTTTTAGGCCGTCCATTCTAACCCCTGTGTGGTTGTAATTGTTTTAGGCCGTCCATTCTAACCCCTGCACCAGATGAGACCCTGTATGGTTGTAATTGTTTTAGGCCGTCCATTCTAACCCCTGTATGGTTGTAATTGTTTTAGGCCGTCCATTCTAACCCATGCACCAGATGAGACCATTTGTGGTTGTAATTGTTTTAGGCCGTCTATTTCTGGTCCTATCTGACGTAGAGCCCAACAGTGAAGGACACTCAGGGGCTGATGGGATTGGAATTCGATGGCCACAGCCGAACACCAGGGCGGCAGAAAGGTCCAGTCAATAGTTCAAGGGGTCTGGTCAAGTTGATGCAGACCATTTGCTGATGGTGGCGGTTTTATAGTCATTGAAAGATGGGCAGATTTAGGGGTTTTTGTGTGTGTCTGTTCTCTTAAGTATTTGTTTTTAAAATAAAGATGGTGTTAGTCTTTTTTAGTAGGAGATATTGGGTTAGAACATACTGCGTATTTTAAACTAGGCATATCAATATAGTTATACTGTCAGTTTTTTAATGTGTATATTCATTGGTGGTACTATGGATTTTGAATTTGTATAGTGTCGAGCTTGGAACTGTCGATTTTTATCCGGGTGTAGCAGCATTCAACGAATAGAACAGTCCACACTGCTATACCATTGGTTATCTAGTTTTACTCCTGTGTAACAAAATGAAAGATACCTTAACCCGTGAATGTCATATTGACTGCTATAACTTCACACTTAGTTTACTTTTTGCCACCGTCAGCAGTTTTCTTCTGATAGGCCATTGCATGATTTCCCCTCTAAAATAGAGGCGCAGGGCCTGTGCTGTGGGTTGAGAAGAGCCAGAGGTTGTCCATGTATCACATCACCTCAGAGGCGTAGCGACCCTTCCCGGCGCCCGGGGACAAACTTTTCGATTCGCACACCCCTCGAGATTTCGATTTGCACCCCCCCCCTCAAACTTTCGATTTGCACCCCCCCCCCCCTCGAGATTTTCATTTGCAACCCCCCTCAACCTTTCAATTTATTTTTCCAACCCATTTTGGCGCCCCCTAAACTCGGCGCCCGGGGACATATGTCCCCCCCCCCCCGCCCCCCCTCGCTACGCTACTGCATCACCTCCTATCACACAGCTGATGGACCCAAAGAAGGGGCATTAGCTATACAACATCGCATGGAATATATATATATATATATATATATATATATATATATATATATATATATATATATATATATATATACGCACACTCACACATTCACACATACACACTCTCTCTCTCTCTCTCACACACTCACACTCACACACATACACCCACACCCACACCCACACTCACACACACACACACACAATGACCCTATTTCCCACCTTACTGTCTTCCATCTATTATTTCTCTCCCTAGAGTGAGTACCGCGGCCTGAGTGATAAGTGTAAAAATTTTGCCGTTGACCTACTGGACCAGTGCCGGACTAACGAGGAGGTCATGTCGGCCCTACACGGGGGCACCAACACCCGGGACCTGTCCCGTATCAAGATGGCGATACGCTACGAGCAGAAGAAGGTCAGCCAGACATTCTCTACAGACTTAAATAACTCGTCATGATGTATCGTCCACCTTTTTAAACAATATTTCTCCCCCCACCATCCCAGAGAAAACGAGAATTTTAATCTTGTTAAGTAAATAGCCTGTAGTACATGAATACAAAACTTACAAGACTTTAAAATCTAAACATCTTTGAGAGAGTTCACTGCGTACAAAGAGATGTAACTCAGATTTTAGTTTTCTCGATAAAATTCGCCCGGCCTTTCAATCACGCTAGACATATACATTGACCGACTGGGGAAAATAAAGTTCGAAGATAGCAAAAAGATAGCAAAAAGAAAAGTAATTTAAAACCGAACTTGTAGCTAAGACAAAACAGTAAAGGATTTATATTTTTTTCAGAAAGGAGAGACTGAATTCATTTTTATATTCACTTTTATATTTAAAATTATAAATTCTCTAATCTAAGTTTACCAATAAAATTGATTGACCATAAATATTCAAATGTAGGTTTACTGTGAAAATGATTGACAAAAGAAAAGCTCTCCAATTAAAACCAACATGAGTTCTTACCACTGAGCAGATGGGGCTCGCTTGGATAGCAAACCGTCTTGGAGAGAAAACTCCAAAATCAAACAACCGCTACCTTGTATTTATAGTTTGTTCTTGGTTGGAAGCAAATCCAAAAAGAAAAGCAGGCTGAAATCGGATTCAACACATTGGCATGTAATTGCGTTTGAAGAAATCCCTTTCAACATAAGAATTAATAACGAAGAAGAAGAAGAAAAAATAATAAATACGCTTTGAAGTGATTGAGCAATTTTTCAACTATCTATATCTATCATGAAATAGTTTATTTATAATTTTCTAAATCAAAGTCCACCCATGAAACTAATTGACTAAAAATTCCTTAATTATCTCCAAATGAAACTATTGTCCAAAACCTCCTAAGTTAGTTCAGCCATGAAACTAATTAACCAAAGTTCCTCAATTAGTCCACCATGAAACTAATTAACCAAAATTCCCAAATTAATCCACCCATGAAACTCATTATCCAAAATCTCTATTAGTTCACCCATGAAACTAATTAACCAAAGTTCCCCAATTAGTACACCATGAAACTAATTAACCAAAATTCCCAAATTAATCCACCCATGAAGCTCATTATCCAACACTCAATTAGTCCACCCATGAAACTGATCCACCGACCAAGCCTAATGCAAGCCCCCCCCCCTCCCCTCCCCCCAGTTTATTGCCCATGCCAGCTGCCAAGAACACCTGGCCAGCATGTGGTACGCCGGCGCCTCGTGGTTCCAGCATCAGAACTTCCCCATCAAGCTCGTCATGGTGCCTTTAGGGATCATCTTCATCCCCGTCACTGCCATCGTCTACGTCTTTCTTCCTTACTCGAGGGTAAGGCTTTACTGTGACTTAGTTTGTTGAGTTATGTTTAAAATTATTACATTAGGTTGGACGTACCCACATAATAGATTCAATAAAGAGAAAAGCACTTTTATAGTTTAACCAATTACTGTATCTTACTCCTACATCTAGAATGTCCTTTTTCACATATTGGCTAGGTCGACAAGCTCCCTTCCTGATAAAATAAAATGTCTTAAAACTCATCCTTCAGATAATAGTCTTTTGTTTCAACACATCGGCAAGATCCTTAACTCAGCCTTCAGATAAAACAATCCTCTACGTCCACAGATCGGCAAGATCCTCAAGTCGCCGTTCATGAAGTTCATGAACTACATCTGCTCCTACACAGCGTTTCTGGTGCTGCTATTTTTAGGCACACAGCTGTCCTCATTCAAGAGCGTCCATTTGTTCAACGGTATAGAGGGAGTGGTCAACAGCCTCATTATGTTCTATGTGCTAGGTGAGTGGTCAATAGGCTCATTATGTTCTATGTGCTAGGTGAGTGGTCAACAGCCTCATTATGTTCTATGTGCTAGGTGAGTGGTCAATAGGCTCATTATGTTCTATGTGCTAGGTGAGTGGTCAACAGTCTCATTATGTTCTATGTGCTAGGTGAGTGGTCAATAGCCTCATTATGTTCTATGTGCTAGGTGAGTGGTCAATAGCCTCATTATGTTCTATGTGCTAGGTGAGTGGTCAACAGTCTCATTATGTTCTATGTGCTAGGTGAGTGGTCAACAGCCTCATTATGTTCTATGTGCTAGGTGAGTGGTCAACAGTCTCATTATGTTCTATGTGCTAGGTGAGTGGTCAACAGTCTCATTATGTTCTATGTGCTAGGTGAGTGGTCAACAGTCTCCTTATGTTCTATGTGCTAGGTGAGTGGTCAACAGTCTCATTATGTTCTATGTGCTAGGTGAGTGGTCAACAGTCTCATTATGTTCTATGTGCTAGGTGAGTGGTCAACAGTCTCCTTATGTTCTATGTGCTAGGTGAGTGGTCAACAGCCTCATTATGTTCTATGTGCTAGGTGAGTGGTCAACAGTCTCATTATGTTCTATGTGCTAGGTGAGTGGTCAACAGTCTCATTATGTTCTATGTGCTAGGTGAGTGGTCAATAGCCTCATTATGTTCTATGTGCTAGGTGAGTGGTCAATAGCCTCATTATGTTCTATGTGCTAGGTGAGTGGTCAATAGGCTCATTATGTTCTATGTGCTAGGTGAGTGGTCAACAGTCTCATTATGTTCTATGTGCTAGGTGAGTGGTCAACAGCCTCATTATGTTCTATGTGCTAGGTGAGTGGTCAACAGTCTCATTATGTTCTATGTGCTAGGTGAGTGGTCAACAGTCTCATTATGTTCTATGTGCTAGGTGAGTGGTCAACAGTCTCATTATGTTCTATGTGCTAGGTGAGTGGTCAACAGTCTCCTTATGTTCTATGTGCTAGGTGAGTGGTCAACAGCCTCATTATGTTCTATGTGCTAGGTGAGTGGTCAACAGTCTCATTATGTTCTATGTGCTAGGTGAGTGGTCAACAGTCTCATTATGTTCTATGTGCTAGGTGAGTGGTCAATAGCCTCATTATGTTCTATGTGCTAGGTGAGTGGTCAATAGCCTCATTATGTTCTATGTGCTAGGTGAGTGGTCAATAGGCTCATTATGTTCTATGTGCTAGGTGAGTGGTCAACAGTCTCATTATGTTCTATGTGCTAGGTGAGTGGTCAACAGCCTCATTATGTTCTATGTGCTAGGTGAGTGGTCAACAGTCTCATTATGTTCTATGTGCTAGGTGAGTGGTCAACAGTCTCATTATGTTCTATGTGCTAGGTGAGTGGTCAACAGTCTCATTATGTTCTATGTGCTAGGTGAGTGGTCAATAGGCTCATTATGTTCTATGTGCTAGGTGAGTGGTCAACAGTCTCATTATGTTCTATGTGCTAGGTGAGTGGTCAATAGGCTCATTATGTTCTATGTGCTAGGTGAGTGGTCAATAGGCTCATTATGTTCTATGTGCTAGGTGAGTGGTCAACAGTCTCATTATGTTCTATGTGCTAGGTGAGTGGTCAACAGTCTCATCATGTTCTATGTGCTAGGTGAGTGGTCAATAGCCTCATTATGTTCTATGTGCTAGGTGAGTGGTCAACAGTCTCATTATGTTCTATGTGCTAGGTGAGTGGTCAACAGTCTCATTATGTTCTATGTGCTAGGTGAGTGGTCAACAGTCTCATTATGTTCTATGTGCTAGGTGAGTGGTCAACAGTCTCATTATGTTCTATGTGCTAGGTGAGTGGTCAACAGCCTCATTATGTTCTATGTGCTAGGTGAGTGGTCAACAGCTAGTTGAGGCTGTCATTTTCTTATTTACAAATGTCAAACAGGCAGTTGTCAATTAATGACGATTATTCTTGAAAAGCATTTTAAGCAGCAAAACCAGGTGCTAAAGTAACCAGGTGCTAAAGTAACTAGGTGCTAAAGTAACCAGGTACTAAACTAACCAGGTGCTATACTAACCAGGTGGTAAACTAACCATGTGCTAAACTAATCAGGTGCTAAAGTAACCAGATGCTAAACTAACCAGGTGCTAAACTAACCAGGTGCTAAACTAACCAGGTGCTAATCTAACCATGTGCTAACCTCCACCACCAGGGATGTTCTGGGCCGAGTGCAAACAGCTGTGGGAGGAGGGCGTCAAGGGCTACTTCTCCCAGATGTGGAACTACATGGACATCACCATGTTAGCCCTCTACACCGCGGGCTACTCCACAGAGGGCGTCATCTACACCAAGACCAATGGATTATACATGGATAACCACCTTATCCACAGCAAAGGTAGGCCCTACAGCTTTTTAACTCGTCGGATAATAAAAAGCTTCATAAGTAAATAAAATCTGAAGATGAAAGGGTTATGTGTGTTTGTCAAAGGGGGGTGGGGGAATATGTTCTTCTACCCACTTTATAAGAACGTGCACCAGTGGCGGAACTAGAAAAAATGGGCCACCCCGCAAAAAATTTTTTTGGGCCCCCCCCCCATATATATATATATATATATATATATATATATATATATATATATATATATATATATATATATATATATATATATATATATATATATATATATATATATATATATGTATATATATATGTTTATATATATATATATATATATATATATATATATATATATATATATATATATATATATACACATATATATACAAACACAATACGAACATAGGATACTCCTTTCTGGCTGATCGGGTTTTCAAAAAAAAATCAATTTAATCTAATCACACCAACATGTGTTGTGTATGAGTGCATTGGTCTGTTTTGAAAATGTCTGTTTTCATTTATGTTTAATACTTCTAATAATTAAGTCGGTCAAAAGTATATAAACCATGAAGCTTTGTATAAGTAATGGTGTCTCGTGTTATGTTTATTTTTATGTTTTTTTTGTATTTATATTATTAATTTAACTACGTTTCACTTCTATACTATACCATTCTTTAGTACATATTTTTTAAAAATAATAATTAAGACCAGTAATTGCTGTTTAATTTGATTATTACAAATCTATTAAAAAGAGCTTTTGAGCAACCCTTTTTGACTATTTGAAAAAGGGAAATAATTTATGGAAGTGGTTTGAGCGTTTGCCTATCTTTCACACTACAGCTAATGTGTATATATTTTTTTTACATTTTTTTTTTACGCAACAGCATGTCTTAGCTACTATATAACATCACTATTGTATTAGATCTGTTATCTGTTTGTTATTTACAAAACCACTATCAAGGTGCCAGTGACGAAACTAATATATATATATACATATATATATATATATATATATATATATATATATATATATATATATATATATATATATATATATATATATATATAAAATTCGTGTATTTATTTGAGACTTTTGCCTTGTTTTATAGAACAGTGGTTATTAAACGTAAACAATTTCGGCACTTTATTTCTTGGATATTAGTTGTTGAAGCGTTAGCTTGTCTACACTACCACCGATACGAGCCAGCTTAGTTGTTGAGGCGCTATATATTCGCTTCTTGTAAGGCTAAGAGCGGGAGTGGAGGTCTGAGAAAGGAACTTAAAAGGGACAACAAAGCACCGATGTGCTTTTATCCATCAGTACCAAATTTGGGATGGTCTCAAAATGCCGTCTTAATATCTAGCGGCCTCTCGCGCAATTGATGTTTTTTCAAAAGAATTCAGCCGACAACAGCGTGTGTTTGATTGTAGGAACGAGAATATACAAGAGCGTGGGATGGTGTCTATAGAATAAAGATACTCCAACCGCAGCTACAGTATTCTTTTTTTCAAAACAACCATCAGGTCAAAAATGCAAGAAAATTAATTTTAACTATAAAAAAATGATTAGGGGCGGCTGTGGGCCCCCTAAACGGCGTGGGCCCCCCCCCCCCGCATTGCGGGGTCTGGCGGCACTGTAGTTCCGCCCCTGACGTGCACTGCTCCCCACTCCTGACGAAATAGAGAAAAAAAAAATATAAAACATTCTTTAACCGTTCCTTTTTTTTTTTAAATTTTACGGTCTAGGGGAGACAACTCATTAAATATTTTCACAGTTAAAAAAAAACAGTTTTTTTTGGCTGAACATTTTTTGAATGGTTTTTAATAAATTTGAACTGTCATGATAAGGGTTGATAAAAAAAATTGTAGTCTGTTTTCATTACATTTTTATTTATGCTTAAAACTGATAAAAAGAACGATTAAATAATTAAACAAAAAAGGCAAACTGTTTTTACTTTCTCGAATACAGAGTATAGAGGATGTATTGTAATCGTGCACTAAAACCAAATGAAAATGTAACATTTTTCATCGTTTTACACCTCAGTACTTCATCATATACGGAGTATAGGGGACTTATTTTAATCGGGGAAAAATAATAAATGCAGATTTATCAAAATTTCGGCGTTTTATGCGTAATCGAGTCGGAAAAACTGAGCGTTGCAATTCTGTCTGTGTGTGTGGACGTATGTCTGTAAACACAATAACTTTTTTTTTTTTTTTTTTTTGCCTCAGACATGTAATTTACAGCGTCAGTTGTGTGTTCGCTTTAGTATTAAAGTTTTCATCATCGGCTTGTGAGGACTGATACAGATTTACAATAGTAATATTTCTTTCTTACTTGTAGCCTACTTTCATTCATTTAAGATGGTTTACTTATACATAGATCTAATACAAATAACTTGAGTATCGTTACAGCTAGGTTGGTGAAATTTCATATACAAGTATTATATCAAATTTATAGTTATGTGGTTCTTCTTAAATATTAGTAAAGGTGTCCAATAAATAATAAAGTGAGTTGTTTTATTACATATGTAACGAAAATCATTTGTTTTCTACTTTTTAGTGCATTATTACATAAAAGCTTGTTATTAAAAAAAATTTTTACGAAATATAAAAAAAAATAATCTTTTTCTTTATATCATAAAGTCTTTTTCTATTTTCTTAAGACACGCAACAAGGGTATCGTTTTTTATTTGATGGTTTATCTTTATTGCATTACTGCAAAAAGGGAGAGAACTTTGTAAGTTCAGTCAGTGAAACTCATCAAAAGTCAGACAGGGTAGTGTCCCCTGTGACATGGCTCACAAACATTGTTTATTACCGTTCCTGGATCGTAGCAATTTAGTTTCTCCTCAGTTACCGGACCTGTGCTCTAAAGCAATCACACATTTAGTTTTCTTCTTATTTTGTTGTTGTTTGACTTCGTTTGTCTACCAGTTATTCGATTTTGTGAACGACTCTGTACTAACGAATTCTACTGTTTGACACAAACATTATTTGACGCTTGTTGTATTTTTCAATGTTTATACAAACGCTATGAATTGGTTGGCTATGGGTATTTAAAAAAAGTTCTTCATTACATTACAATATTTTCCTACATACATCCTGTGTTGATTGTATGATTGTATCCAATAGTCTGGTAAATGGCTATTGGTATTAAAATATAGCATCATTAAATTAAGCGTTCAATATTTTTCCACTGAAATCCTGTATTGACTATGTGATTATATTAAATATTCTGGTAAATATTACGTCTCGTGCAATCCATTATTTACAGTTGTACAAATACATTTATTGTTGTTGGAGTGTTGTATAAAGTTTACACAGCGTAGACCGTTAGGCTTTTAAAAACTAGTTCCAGGCTATCAAAGAAAAAATCGACCTAACCTGCACCACAGGTCTATCAACAGTGGGTCTCAAATATATGAGAGCTGGGTACAATGTTTCTTCGAGACCTTTTTTCTCTCCGGGGGTGGGCGGCACTTGAAATTCTATTTCATTCGGGGATGGTGGTGGGAAGGGTAGTCGTTTTTCGAAGGGGGGGGGGCGAAGGAGAGTGGGGGTGGGGGGCTGGGTACATGACCTTAAAGACAAATACACATTATAAGTTTAACATCTTTAAGAAAATGCAGCTAGCAATTAAAAAAAAAACTTATGAAAGAGCTTAAGGCTGTTAGCTTGATTGTAAATATTTTTAAATTTTTTATTCATTAAGATACTTGAGCGTCTCAGGCTGGATCGATTATCGATTACTGTGATCTCGATGTTAATTCATATTATATTCAAGGAAATTTAAAAAAAAAGAACTCTTTACTACAAAATATATATTAGAAAATATGTTTTTAAAATAGAAAATACAACCAGAGCCTTTGTTGACATCACATCTGTTGTTAAATCTGAAAGTGTGTGGCAATAGCAAGACATTAACACGACCACTCTTTATTAAACCAGCGACAAAATATGATCAATACTAGAGGGCTTGGCGAACTAAGGGAAACAACTCACCAGCTTACTCGGCATTTAGTGTCTCCCCTTATCAAGATACTGTCTTCTATATAACTGTTCATTCGTTTAAGATCATATCCATAGCTCTGGTTTGATTATAAATTGCATAATTAACAATCGATCGAAAATATTTCCGTAAATCAACATACAGCTCCGCATTTATCACGATATAACCACCTCCACACACACACTCCATTTCCAATATAAATTCTGGCCCTATTTTGCATTCTTTCTTTAAATACATAGAAGTAACAATGATATGTTTCGGTTACAAAAAACAAATTAAAACATGGCATAAAGTGGAAACTATAGACCATGTACTGTAACATTTTTAAAGTTTTATACAAAAAGTTATTCGATTTAAAAAGTTTTTTAAATTAAAATATCACAATAAAGAATTTCGTATAAAAATTTATAAAATTTTAAACAGTAATATTTGGTTTAACATTCAGCTGAATAATACATACTTATTCGCGCGAAATATTTGTTTGGTTCTTTTGTTTTTAACAATACATATTTTGGTTTATGTAAGCTCTGCTTGAATTAGCATGCAGATATGCGGTTGGATTTGATGCTCTTCGATTTTTTATCGTCGTTATCTTCTGCAATCTTATCGTTCACTTTGTTTTTATGTGATGCGACATCCATTAACTTCGTGCTCTCGTAAAACAACAGAAAGTTATTGACAAAAACAGGAACGGTAACTGCTATCAAAAGAACCCCACTCATCGCGCACATACTCCCGATTATCTTCCCTGGCCCTGTTTTCGGCACAACGTCACCGTAGCCGACGGTTGTCATGGTGATGATGGCCCACCAGCCCGCGTCCGGGATAGATTTCATGTTATCCCGCTCGAAAAAATAAGAGGAAGTGGCGAAAATGGTGACGGCTATTAATAGATACAAAAACAGGAGGCATAACTCTCGCCACGAGGATCTGACGGAGTAGACCAACACGCGGAAACCGGTGACGTTCTTCACAAGTCGAATCAGGCGCAGCACGCGGAACAGCTGGAGGCTGTTGAGGATCTCAATGTAGGAGGGCGTGTATTTAGAACGGGGATCGATTCTCCCTAAAATCAAAACTAAATACATCGTCGTCACGGTAAACAAATCGATCCAGGTCGATACCGATCCCAGAAATCGTAATCGTGATGGCGCGAAAATAAACCGCGCGATTAGTTCTAGCGTGAAGTAGCACATGCATACGCTATCAATGTACTGCAACCAATCAACAGGCGCATCAGCTGTTGTTGGTCGGACACCCGCGCACCAATCACTTGTGCTCGTGCTTTGGTGAGTGAGCATGTTTTGAAAATAGTTCGACACACGCTGGAGTAGTGAGTAGAAAGTTGTTGCGTTGATGCTGGTGGTCGTGTTGGTGTTGTCGTTGGTGATGATGATGTCTCGCTTTTGTCGATGTTGATGGAGATTTTGGTGTGTCAGTTCCTCGTTGAGTTGGTGGATCATTTTGTGGACATTGTTGGATCTAGACTCGTTAGTAGCTGCGTCTTGGTATATGTCTTTTACCCCCATGTTCTCAGTGCTGTGTGAAAGATCAGTCGAGTCTATAGTTTGATCTTCTCCGATTTGTGCTGTAGTTGATGTAGGTTCAGATGATTCGCTTTCTGTCGATTGTGGAGAGTTGTTATTGATAAAACTATTGGGTGATTTGGTGTAGAAAGATTTACTGCTGTTGGTGTGATGGTAGACATTTTTGTTGGCGTGTGGGTAGTCACTTGAGTTTGTGTGTGGGTATAAAGCTGTGTTGGTGTGTGGGTGGCCGGTATTGTTGTTGTAGTGATATCCACTGGTATTGTAGTGTGGATAAAATCTGTTCTTCTTATGTTGATACCCATTATCTTCGTGGATGTAGCCACTGGTGTTGGTATGGAGGTAGCCACTGGTGTTGGTATGTAGGTAGCCACTGGTGTTGGTATGGAGGTAGCCACTGGTATGAGTAGCCCCCCATCTAACAGTCCCACCCTCTGAAACCTGTCTGGTGTCACTAGTTGTAGTTTCGCTTGCTCTAGACTCAGCGTTACCACTTTTAACTAACTCTAAAACGACATTCACGATTTTCTCATCTTCAGCGCCATTGGTCCCAATCACGTGATCTCCATGCGATGGCAATTCGTCTGCTGAACGTTTACGTACCTGTGCAGAAAAGTAACCGGCTTAAACTTATTTAGTGTCATAATTTTGGGCTTAAACCAGGGGTCTCCAAACTACGGCCCGCGGGCCGGATGCGGCCCGCGCAGTCCTCCCATCCGGCCCGCGGAGATCTTTTTGTCCAAGGAAAAATCGTTTGTTGGTGATGATGAGGTTCTTTGCGCAGAAAAATCAAAGATATGCCTGGAAGAAACTGGCCCCCGAACTGAAATTTGATAGTTAATGCGGCCCTCGGACTGAAAAGTTTGGAGACCCCTGGCTTAAACAATGCAACTACGTGTCGTAATTGTGCTATATAACCGGTTAAAGCTTGCAATTAAGTGTCATAATTGATGGGGTTTAAACCATGCAACAACCTGTCATAATAGTATCTATGTAAATAGTTATAACATGAAATTATATGTCATAGTTTTGGCTGCATAACGGAATTAAATCTTGCAATTACGTGTCATTATTGAAGCTATTTAACTAGTTAAAACATGCAATTACGTTTCATACGTGTAGCTATTGTGTGTAGCCGTTCAATAAATTGTTTGAACATTTTAAAACAGTTATGAACTGAATAGCATATTTAATTACAACGGTTATGTAAGAAAAATCTTTAAAGCAAAACGACTGTTTGAAACCTTAACGCAACCATTTATAACAAACTAGCGCTAAGTTATCAAAGGTGACCCGCTGATAGAAACGCGAGAGTTTGTTGATTTTTGTTTGTTTACATCTATTCCCTTGCTCGCTACTCATAGCGTTCTTATTAAATTTCATAGCTTGGGTGGGGGCAGAGAGATTTGTTTATAGACTCAATACTGTGTGTGTTTATAGGATCAATAGTGTGTGTGTTTATAGACTTAATAGTGTGTGTGTGTGTATTATAGACTCAATGGTGTGTGTGTTTATAGATTCAATAGTGTGTGTGTATTTATAAACTCAATAGTGTGTGTATTTATAGACTCAATAGCGTGTGTGTTTATAGGATCAATAGTGTATATGTTTATAGACTTAATAGTGGTTGTATTTATAGACTCAATAGTGTGTCTATTCAGTGGCGTTGTCAGGGCGTTGTTGATAAGCCGGCGCGACATTTATTTACCTCAGACATGACGTTGTATAAATCTCATGCAGAACGTATAGTTAGAACAGTCTGGTTCTTATATATATATATATATATATATATATATATATATATATATATATATATATATATATATATACATTTGACTAAAATCGAAAATGAACACTGTAAAGCCCATGTGTATTTACGTCTACCAAAAGGAGGTTGAAGAATCAACTGGTAACATAACAGACTGGAAATGTGCGCTACTAACTCCCCTTTTACAGGCAACTGCATTCGGCCAGGATTAAGCCAAGCTTATATTTTATTTTATAAATGAGAAAAAAAAAATGGCGCGGAGTTGTCTCGCATCCCAACCCCACACCCTCAGTTACGTCCCCTGGGTCACCACCACCAAAGAAAGTGAATGAACTATCAAAGATACATACGGCTCGTGTTGTCATGGCCTGTGTGGATGTATATGTTGTCACCTGCACATCTGTAATTAAAGTAGGTTTATAAAATACTGTATGAAATAACCTGGTCTGTTATGTATCTCGAATAGTTACCACATTACATTTTTACAACAAAGTATGAAACAATTATTTGGTCGTGAAATATCTTTTAGCTTCCCTGCCTTTAAATATATTTGTTGGATCTTAACGTATGTACGTGTTCATAAACCTGAAGTTTTTGAGAAATATTTCTGAATAATTCTGGCTCAGAACGTTCCACAGACTTTTTAAACACGATTACAGTGAATTACATAATTGTTGGTGCTGCTTTACATGAAGTGTTTTAGACAATAATCACTATTTCACTTAATTTGGTTGTTGACTACTAGTTTTATAACATTCACGTGATCAGTACAATCCCCAGTCAAATCTATCCTAGTAAATCACTAATGCTCTCTACCACACAACCACCCCGTTTCGTTTTATTGTTACAAACGAAGGTGCATCATCACCTGTTGTGGAATTTTCCAAGGGCTCGACGCAACGTGTGTACTCATCTTCACTGAGGAACTCCTCCCACTCCTCTTTGGTGAGGGACCGCGTGAAGGCGGTGTCAGTGGAAGCGATTAGCACAAAGGTCGACAGTAGCACGAAGATGGTCGCCACAGCTAGGAAAATCTGGGCAAATTATAGGGTAACATGAGCACAAAGATGGTCGCCACAGCTAGAAAAATCTGGGGAAATTATATGGTAACATGAGCACAAAGATGGTCGCCACAGCTAGAAAAATCTGGGGAAATTATATGGTGACATGAGCACAAAGATGGTCGCCACAGCTAGAAAAATCTGGGAAAATTATAGGGTATCATGAGCACAAAGATGGTCGCCACAGCTAGAAAAATCTGGGGAAATTATAGGGAACATGAGCACAAAGATGGTCGCCACAGCTAGAAAAATCTGGGGAAATTATATGGTAACATGAGCACAAAGATGGTCGCCACAGCTAGAAAAATCTGGGGAAATTATAGGGAACATGAGCACAAAGATGGTCGCCACAGCTAGAAAAATCTGGGGAAATTATATGGTAACATGAGCACAAAGATGGTCGCCACAGCTAGAAAAATCTGGGGAAATTATAGGGTAATATGAGCACAAAGATGGTCGCGACAGCTAGAAAAATCTGGGGAAATTATATGGTAACATGAGCACAAAGATGGTCGCCACAGCTAGAAAAATCTGGGGAAATTATAGGGTAATATGAGCACAAAGATGGTCGCGACAGCTAGAAAAATCTGGGGAAATTATAGGGTAACATGAGCACAAAGATGGTCGCCACAGCTAGAAAAATCTGGGGAAATTATATGGTAACATGAGCACAAAGATGGTCGCCACAGCTAGAAAAATCTGGGGAAATTATAGGGTAATATGAGCACAAAGATGGTCGCGACAGCTAGAAAAATCTGGGGAAATTATAGGGTATCATGAACACAAAGATGGTCGTCACAGCTAGAAAAATCTGGGGAAATTATAGGGTATCATGAGCACAAAGATGGTCGCCACAGCTAGAAAAATCTGGGGAAATTATATGGTGACATGAGCACAAAGATGGTCGCCACAGCTAGAAAAATCTGGGGAAATTATAGGGTAACATGAGCACAAAGATGGTCGCCACAGCTAGAAAAATCTGGAGAAATTATAGGGTAACATGAGCACAAAGATGGTCGCCACAGCTAGAAAAATCTGGGGAAATTATAGGGTATCATGAGCACAAAGATGGTCGCCACAGCTAGAAAAATCTGGGGAAATTATAGGGTATCATGAGCACAAAGATGGTCGCCACAGCTAGAAAAATCTGGGGAAATTATAGGGTATCATGAGCACAAAGATGGTCGCCACAGCTAGAAAAATCTGGGGAAATTATAGGGAACATGAGCACAAAGATGGTCGCCACAGCTAGAAAAATCTGGGGAAATTATATGGTAACATGAGCACAAAGATGGTCGCCACAGCTAGAAAAATCTGGGGAAATTATAGGGAACATGAGCACAAAGATGGTCGCCACAGCTAGAAAAATCTGGGGAAATTATAGGGGAACATGAGCACAAAGATGGTCGCCACAGCTAGAAAAATCTGGGGAAATTATATGGTAACATGAGCACAAAGATGGTCGCCACAGCTAGAAAAATCTGGGGAAATTATAGGGTAATATGAGCACAAAGATGGTCGCGACAGCTAGAAAAATCTGGGGAAATTATATGGTAACATGAGCACAAAGATGGTCGCCACAGCTAGAAAAATCTGGGGAAATTATAGGGTAATATGAGCACAAAGATGGTCGCGACAGCTAGAAAAATCTGGGGAAATTATAGGGTAACATGAGCACAAAGATGGTCGCCACAGCTAGAAAAATCTGGGGAAATTATATGGTAACATGAGCACAAAGATGGTCGCCACAGCTAGAAAAATCTGGGGAAATTATAGGGTAATATGAGCACAAAGATGGTCGCGACAGCTAGAAAAATCTGGGGAAATTATAGGGTATCATGAACACAAAGATGGTCGTCACAGCTAGAAAAATCTGGGGAAATTATAGGGTATCATGAGCACAAAGATGGTCGCCACAGCTAGAAAAATCTGGGGAAATTATATGGTGACATGAGCACAAAGATGGTCGCCACAGCTAGAAAAATCTGGGCAAATTATGGGGTAACATGAGCACAAAGATGGTCGCCACAGCTAGAAAAATCTGGGGAAATTATAGGTAACATGAGCACAAAGATGGTTGCCACAGCTAGAAAAATCTGGAGAAATTATATGGAGACATGAGCACAAAGATGGTCGCCACAGCTAGAAAAATCTGGGGAAAAAATTAGAATTTCTCATGAGCATTAAAGTGAACAATGTGTTCTCACCGTTAATGGCATATTTGGCTAGTTTGACGTCTTTACACGTCTTACAACAACACGATATCAAAATGAAGGAATTAATGTTTTCCTCTAGCATTAGGTCTTACAGGAAAATTCGCCAACAGTACTAGGTAATTCATAAAGATTCGCCAACAATGCTAGGTGATAAATCAATTCTTGTCAACAAAGCTAGGTCTTACATAATGATTCGCAAACAATAACTACGATGACGCCTGGTGTTAAAGATATATATATAAGGTTAGACTGGGATTAAAACTAAAGAATACAACGTCGTGATATTTTGATAGCTTGGAGAATTTTGACCATCAATAATATTCAACATCAAAGGGGCACAAATAACTATTCCACCCCCACCTCTCTCCCTCTCTCTCTTCTCTCTTTTTCTTTCTCTTTATCACACTTGCAGCTCACTTGCTAGACTTATTCTTCCAATAAAAACTAAAAATGATTTAGAAATCAATGTCAGAAGAAATACGCAACAACGTAAAGTTTAAACAAAGAGACCTTACCATGGCCCAGTTGGAAGATTTGGGATTATCCAGAAGGGCCCAGCCGCGCATGCGTATCTTCTCCCATGACGACGGGTACGCTGTTTGAGGGAGACCACTCTCATGGAATTTTCGATCAAAGTCAAGCAGAGTTGCCTCGTCTGGTTGTATGGAAAGAGATGTAAGCCTATACGACTATTAGAGTAATCTTATCTACATCATATTATAGACACAAGCAGAGTTGCCTCGTCTAGTTGTAAGGAACGAGATGTAAGCCTATACGACTATTAGAGTAATCTTATCTACATCATATTATAGACACAAGCTGTTGGCTGACTCTCACCTCTCATACCATAGAGGGGAGGGTCGTTGTGTTTAGAGAGGGGCCTCTATGGCCACTATAACCTCCTACCTCTTAGACCACTAGGCCTCCCTCCCCTGCTACAGCTCTGACCACTATAGCTATCAGATATTCTACGTATAAGTCCTTCACGCTCAACAAATACCATCACATTTAATGTTTTATGCAAGTAACATGTACTACGTGATACATAAGTTTTCAAGTCTCAATTGACTTACCTGTTAACCTTTCCCCTATATTCGAAATCAAGTATGGTTTAAAGTAACAATACGTCATAACCTAGACTCAACTTTAATCTTGTGAGGGTTGGGGAAAGTGGAATTGATGTCTTCAATAAACAATACGAACTCCGTTCTTAGTAGTAATATTAGTAGGGAGTTCCTCCAACACCATTAAGTATTACGTGTCAACATGTACTGCGCCATATGGCTCGTTGACTCTGATTTGCTTCTATGGCCTTTGTCTATCCAAGAACATACAAAAGGGAGTACTTGTTCGATGTTAGACTCTCTCTCCAAGATGGGTAGCTATCCCCAGCTATAAAGCCTAATCTTTTCTTTCTTTCTTTACGAACATTACCGGCTCAGGAGTTGTGTTTCCCATTAGCCAGACAGGCCCCAACACTGCAAACTCCGACTAATTGGGTTGGATATAGGTTTGTCAGGGACAATACGAATAATATTTTCCAAATTACGGAATTTAAAAAAGTATATGAAAGTCGACTGTCTGGATGTGAACGAATAACGAAACGAATGTCTGGAACTTACTTTCATGAAAGCCGACAAATCGCCTGAGACAACAGGTGGACATTTGTGTCCAGTCGACTTCCCAGGCCTCCAGCTCTCTCTTGAAGATGGACGGGCAGACGTCGGTCGGCAAGTGGAGCTCTCCCGTTTGGTAGAAATCCAAGATGGCCCCGAAGCTCTGCGCATGTCTCTCTATGAAATATTCGGAACATCCGGTTTGTTTGTCAGCACGCAGTACCGACCGAGACTGAATTTGAGTTTCGAATTTTGAAAATGTGACGTGCGAGATTTCGAATTTCGCACCGCCGATGTTCAGCTTGATAACGTCGGTGTTGGTCTCCATGGTAAAGTCGTATGCTTCAGCTTTCGAACATTTAAAGTTTCAGCATTCAAACATTTAAAGTTTCAGCATTCGAACTGCGGTAATTTGAATGTTATACAGTTTTACTAAATATTAAAAAGTAAAATTTGAATAATAAAACACAGCATGTCAAATTTTCGGAATTTAAGTTTCAACATTTAAAAAAATCACTTGCTTCGGAATTCGTACTTTAGCAAATTCAATTTCGAACGTGTGAATTCCATAAAATCTTTTAGTTATGCTATCCCTTGTGCATTTCCCTAAGATTGTAGAAAATGTGCACCGTTATCAGACAATGAAGTGAAAATCAGCATTGCCATCAACTTGTGAATTCAACTCATTAATCCACCTAACAAATAAAGGCAACATCTGATCAAACTTTGAAAGTTTACTAACGTTTTCACACTAGTCCGTGTTCCTATGAGCAGTTCTCAAATATTTGTTTCCCTCTTCAACCAATCAAAAACTGCAGAGCGAACTATTTCTTGTCCGTGACGTAATAATCGATAGAGAAAATATCGATTTGTCAATTATTGGAGCGTCAACCGAAACAGTGTGGGTCATGGATGGGTGGTAGTTTATTGTTGGGTAGCGGCGGGGCTTTGTTTAGTGCTTGACCCATTGAGTAGAGTTTGTTGAATTAACGTGGACAGAAGTTTTCTATTAGCCTGCTGGTAGGTGGCCTTGGGTGGGATGGTAGTTTGAAAGTTATTGGGTGGGATGGTAGTGACTGGAGTATTGGGTGGGATGGTAGTCACTGAAAGTTATTGGGTGGGATGGTAGTCACTAAAAGTTATTGGGTGGGATGGTAGTGACTGGAGTGATTAGATGGGTGGGATGGTAGTGCCTGAAGTATTGGGTGGGATGGTAGTGGCTGGAGTATTGGGTGGGATGGTAGTGGCAGGAGTATTAGGTGGGATGGTAGTGGCTGGACTATTGGGTGGGATGGTAACGGCTGGAGTATTGGGTGGGATGGTAGTCATTGGAGTATTGGGTGGGATGGTAGTCACTGGAGTATTGGGTGGGATGGTAGTGGCTGGAGTATTGGGTGGGATGGTAATGGCTGGAGTATTGGGTGGGATGGTAGTCACTGGAGTATTGGGCGGGATGGTAGTCACTGGAGTATTGGGTGGGATGGTAGTGACTGAAAGTTATTGGGTGGGATGGTAGTGACTGGAGTATTAGGTGGGATGGTAGTCACTCAAATTTATTGGGTAATGGTAGTCACTGAACGTTATTGGGTGGGATGGTAGACACTGGATTTATTTGATTACTAGGATGGTAGTCACTGAAAGTTGTTGGTTAGGATGGTAGTCGCTGAAAATTATTGGGTGGTATGGTAGCCACTGAAGTATTAAGTAGGATGTTAGTCCCTGAAAATTATTGGGTGGGATGGTAGTCACTGAAAGTTTTTGGGTGGGATGCTAGATACAAAAAATTTTTGGTTTTCTCCAACGGATATTTAAATAAACCGGGAGTGATCTCCCCTAAATTTTCTCGAATATTCTTATATAAAACAACAGGGGATGGTAACTGGGGATATTGTTATGATTTTTAATCCATTTTAAATACTGAAACTTTTATAAATAGAATAGAATCTCAGTAAAAAACAATTGCACACCAAGCGAACGCCTAATAAAGGTGTGTATAATAGTGCGCAATAGTATTAGTACTTTAAAAATTTACATTAGTTTTTTGAGAAATCGGAAGTACCGTAAATTACTACTTCCGGTCAACGGAAATTACTCAAAATGTAACAGAAGGTAGAGAATTAGATCTTTTACTTACATGTGAAATTTCATTTATCTATCTGAAATAGTACTCAAGTTATAGGCTTTTGAAAAATTCAAAGTAGAAAAAGTACCACTTCCGGTTGTCGGAAATCGCTCAAAAGTTGATACGGATCTACGATTTTGATATAATACTTATATATGAAATTTCATCAACCTAGCTGTAACGGTACTCAAGTTATCGTGTTTACACACGGACACACAGACACACAGATACACACACAGACACACACACACACAGACATACGGACAAGATTGCAAAATTATGTTTTTCCGTATCAGTGAGGTGTAAAACGTCGAGATTTGTAAAAATCTCGATTTTTTTTTGCACGATTACAATACTTTCTCTATACTACGTATATACGAGAAAGTAAAAAATATATACGAGAAAGTAAAAAACAATTAGCAATAGCATAGTTGAGATTTTCATTTTTTTCAAATGATTGAATGGCCATTGGCCAATAACATGTTAGGCGGTTTGTATAACTATGTAAGGCCACCCGTCTATATTTTACAGTCTTACATCATGTAATCCAGGGGTCTCCAAACTTTTCAGTCCTAGGGCCGCATTAACTATCAAATTTCAGTTCGGGGGCCAGTTTCATCCAGGCATGTCTTTGATTTTTCTGGGCAACGTTCCTCAGCCATCACCAACAAACGATTTTTCCTTGTACAAAAAAATCTCCGCGGGCCGGATCAGATGACTTCGCGGGCCGCATCCGGCCCGCGGGCCGTAGTTTGGAGACCCCTGATGTAATCTTATATGAACATGCACGGTTCTATGAGATTAGTATCACCAGGATTCGAACTCAGGTCCCTCGAAGTTTTGGTAGAACGACAACACTAACAACACACGGCAACAGTTAAACATTTATACGGCACTCAGCTCCTCTCCGCTGCTTAAAGTCTTGTTTGGGTTTTAAAACTAAGTTTGTTTCTAGCAACAAACGCGTCGTCATGGTAGGGTACATGGGCGGAACTACTATACCACATGAACCCGGGTGGGGGTGGGTGGTGGGATCGGGCCAAAATCCGACCCAAAATAAGATTAATTTTTTTTGTAATTTAATAGACTGGAGGTTTCTATAGTAACTAACACACGTTATAGCGTAGAAAAAAAATTGCATGAGCAGTTGTGTGAAAAAGAGGCTAACCATCAAACCACTTCCAAGTTTTATTGCTCCTCTATAAATAGCCTAATAAAATTGGGTCCCCGTAAAGCTTTATGTACCAAGCAAAGTAGAAAACTATTTCTTCTCTTAATTATTGTTAAAACAGGCTTACTAAAGAATGGAATAGTTATATAAAGAAATTTATTCAAAATTAATAAAACAAAAAAAAACAAAAAAAAACAAACAACAACACATAAGAATAAAACGAGCACGCGAAACCATTACCCATATGAAACCACCCTGTTTCATATTCTTTTCACCGACTTGCCAGATATGAAGTTAAACTTTTCACAATACATGAGATAAAAAATTGTATAGGCCAAAAGTCAGTTTGAGGGTTGAATTTCCAATTTTAAAATGGTTTGATTTAAAATTGAGTGTAGCAGTCTACTAATACACACACACACACACACACATATATATATATATATATATATATATATATATATATATATATATATATATCTGCGGAGAGACTGGAGAGAAGGTTTCTAGTTCCTTCTGCCTCTGGTAGGGTATCACCCCATCTTTCCTATTGATAACCCTCCTTCCCCAATAATACAACAGATATTTGTTTTCATTGGGGAGTATACAACCATAGCTTAGATCTTCGCCCATGTGCACAGCTTAAAGATAGACTGCTGTGGAAACACTTGGCGGGTAATGAACTATTGGCCTGAATGTTTAAACGGAAATTATTGATTGTTCCTGCAACTAGAATTCATATTTATTTATAGCACGATTCGCCTTACAATACACGATGGCGACAGAAAGATGAATATTTAATTCTCTTCATAACTGAGTCTTTTCTATTACCTAGAATAACTTCAGTCAGCCGTTTCCTCTCTTAATTAGGACAGATGGAATGCTAGTATTGCCAACGTTAGGGTTACGTTACTTTAGTAATGTGTATATATATATATATATATATATATATATATATATATATATATATATACATATGTGTGTGTGTGTGTGTTTGAGCTTCTAATTTTGTTAATTTGTTAAGTCCTCTAAAGATTAGTATCTATGTCACACTCAAGACTTTCGGCCATCAGGGTTGGAGCATATAAAAACTACGAGATTGTAAAACTATACTATTCCGGCAGGCGGAAACGTTTGACGGAACGACTGACTGTACTATAAACTGCTGTTCTTTGTTCCCCAGACGACTCCATACTGAACCCCCAGATCTTGTCCAAGGTTTTGTTCTCTGTGGCCAACGTCATGAGCTTTGCCAGGATCGCTTACATCCTGCCGGCCAGCGAGACCTTTGGTCAGCTACAGATATCCTACGGCCGGATGTTACAGGTAGGTGTGTGGAGGGGGGGGGGGGGGTCACATCCTGTCGGCCAGCGAGACCTTTGGTCAGCTACAGATATCCTACGGCCGGATGTTACAGGTAGGTGTGTGGAGGGGGGGGGTCACATCCTGCCGGCCAGCGAGACCTTTGGTCAGCTCCAGATATCCTACGGCCGAATGTTACAGGTAGGTGTGTGTGTGGGTGGGGGGGGGGGGGGTCACATCCTGCCGGCCAGCGAGACCTTTGGTCAGCTCCAGATATCCTACGGCCGGATGTTACAGGTATGTGTGTGTGGGGGGGGAAGGTGGTGAATCACACACTGCCCGCTAGCAAGAACGTTGGGGTGGGTTTAATCATGTACTGTAGTATCGTAAAAAGATACTTAATCTCCTGCCATGCAGTTAGACAATAGGTACTGACCCAGAAACTTGCACTCTGGGTTCAAGAACCTCAAGACCTTCTGCCTGGTACCGTCTGCCTTGATGATAACCACAATACTATAGGCTCTACTTTCTATGGCTTCAGGAAGTTCATATTTAGACAAGTTTTCCATTATGTCTGGTTCAGAACGTGGAGAAGTTCATGTTTACCCAACTAAATCTTTTTGTTTTCATTCAGGACGTGGGCAAGTTCATCTTTATCTACTTCACCGTCATGATCGCCTTCATTTGTGGCCTGACTAGTTTGTACAGCATATCTAAGAACGTGCACTTTTCAGGGTAAGTGGCCATGTGCAACATTTGTTGGATGTGTGGCCATGTGCAACATTTGTTGGATGTGTGGCTATGTGCTATATTTGTTGGATGAGTGGGCATGTGCAATATTTGTTGGATGAGTGGGCATGTGCAACAATTAATGTAATGAGTGTCAATCCAAACAATTTTCTATTGGCTTTTGTAAGGCGGTATTTTTTTTAACTGAAAAACGTAACAATAATTTATTCAGGTGTGAGTTTTATAGGGTAAAAAATCATTAACTGTTCAGTTCTGCTCTTGTTTCGTCTTTGTACCCAAGTACACTCTAGCCACCCGACCAGACCATACCGCACTAATCAACATGTCCTTACCCCTGCACTAATCAACCTGTCCCTGCACTAATCAACCTGTCCTTACCCCTGCACTAATCAACCTGTCCCTACACTAATCAACCTGTCCCTGCACTAATCAACCTGTCCTTACCCCTGCACTAATCAACCTGTCCCTGCACTAATCAACCTGTCCTTACCCCTGCACTAATCAACCTGTCCCTGCACTAATCAACCTGTCCCTGCACTAATCAACCTGTCCCTGCACTAATCAACCTGTCCTTACCCCTGCACTAATCAACCTGTCCCTGCACTAATCAACCTGTCCCTGCACTAATCAACCTGTCCCTGCACTAATCAACCTGTCCCTGCACTAATCAACCTGTCCCTGCACTAATCAACCTGTCCCTGCACTAATCAACCTGTCCCTGCACTAATCAACCTGTCCTTACTGTGAGGGTGGGGGTTTTAAGAGAGGCCGGAACGAATGAATCCAACAACACACAGTTCAAGTTCAACTATAATTGTTCTTTATTAAAATGATATATATGTTCAAGTTTCTACCTAACTGATCTACACTGTACTATTTACTTCTACTACTGACTGTTCATACCACATGCTACCTACTACTACGCACTCCCATGACCAATCCTAACACTAACTAACTGTTCCGTAGCTCTGCAAATTACAACCGTCTCCAACCACTACCTAACACCTTCTCTCCTCGCTAGCTACCTATCAACTCCTGGCCTATCGCTCTACTGCCCCACGCCTCAGTGGTCAGCTGACCGTCCCACGTGACCGGTCAGCCCTGTGCGCCCATTGGCTTCTCTAACCAACCAACTAGGCCTATAGTCTGTTTCTGCTAACCTATATCTGCTAAACATGTCTGACGTAATCTTGCGTCATCACATATCTCCCTCCCTTTCTGTAGCTGACAAATTATATTTTTCAGCGTCTACTACTAATCTAATACATCAACAACTATCTATCTTACTACTCTATTCTATCCCTAACATCAATCATGTAAATCAAATACAAAATGGGACAGCACAGTTTACAAAAACATAAAATCTTGTGTCTGTGTTCCTGAAAAAAAAATGTCATTGTTCTAGTTCTTGTGTAAGTATCCTGACGTCTGTGGTGTCTCTGCTTGCTAATGTATGTCTATGTTATGTTATGTGTGAATCCAATCATGTGCAACTCAGTTCTGGCTAGGTTGTCGTGTACTGGCCTTGAGCCAATCTTAGTAGAATGTGTAACTGGTTGAACGGGCTCTGCGAGCAGTGTAAGTGTATGTGTTATGTAATTGCTGGCGTTCCTCTGTGGTGGGTGGGTTGTGGCGAGTTTTGATGTAAATTCCCGTGAGGCGGGTGTAGGCGTAACTTTCGTTGGTCAATGTGATGACGCAACAAACTCAACGCTGGTTGAGACGTCCACGTAGAGTGGTTATACGATGAACTGGAGCTGTCTGATGCGCTGGTGAACAATGACGTAACATTCTGTCGCTGGGAACTTGGACGATGGGTCGTCTACCCTTTGTATATGCCGACGTCGGTGTACGTAGCTGGCGGTCTGTTATTCAACCCCAGTGCGGGGGCGAAGCGGTGGCGATGCGTCCGCTGTCTTGACCAGGCAATTCTCTGTTAAGCAGGCTGTGCGCTGTCCAGGTAATTCAACGTAATCAGGGCTTCTGGTGGCGGCATTCTTTGAAGTGTCTGCTTCATCTCGTCTCATTCTGAATAAGCACTGGTGGGTCTGAAATTGTATTACGAGACCATGAGCAATGGCTTTATGTGACCAATTTAGTGCCCGCGCAGACAAGTATTCAGACAGAGGTACCTTCCATTAAAAAAAAACCTCAATCCCAAATTTAAACGTGCTGAACATTTGTCTGGCGGCATAACAAACATTAAAGAAAAAATAACATTACAAATATAACCAAATAAAAAAATCAGTACACTCTAATCTAACAACAATCTGTAAAGCCTAATAAACTCAATAGACGTAAACACTACTAGAGCTTAGAAATAGCTTCACAAAAAGAATAGACATGTGAGTGTATACAATTAATCGTGCCGTTTCAAATAACATTTGAACACGCAATCATATAGTGGAGCAGCTCTCACTATCTGACTTCTGCCTTGACTTAAACTGGCTTGCTTGACTTAATGACTGACTTCACTTTTGACTTCAGTAACTTGACTTATTTCACTTTGACTTCAGTAACTCGACTGACTTCAATTTAACGACTGATTTCCTCTGACGACTGACTTAATTAGACCTCTCTGACTGACTTCGACTTCAATTCAACTTAAAGGACTTCACTGACTGACTTAGACTTCGACGACTTTAACGTCTTAACTTTGACTTCAAAGACTTTTTCTTGACTTCAACGACTTCAATATGACTTCAAAGACTTCACTTTGAATTCAACGACTTCAATATGACTTCAAATAATTCACTTTGACTTCAACAACTTCATTATGACTTCAAAGACTTCACTTTGACTTCACGATTTCAATTCTTCTCTATGACCTCAACGACTTTATAACTTCAAAGACTTTTCTTTGACTGCAACATGACTTCAACTACGTCACTATGATTCCAACTACGACTTCAACAACTTATTGACTGACTTGACTGACTTCAAATAACTTCTTTGACTTCACGCCGATTTCTCGGCGACTTAGATTAACAGAAAAAAAAAAACTCGACTTGACTTTAGTCCGTTGTTCAAAAACATTCGTGGGGGCGTTCCGGGTCAAATTCTATCCAGGCCTTAATATACCACACTAGGACCGATAGGGCGGGGCTCGGTGTGGACAATTGTGTTGCGAACTTTCACGTGGTCTATGATTACTATACTTGTGTTTGTGTAGGTGTGTTGATGGGGTCACCTGGTTTAAGGCTGACCAGGAGTAACAGTACTGTTTGTCTGCTATCAAATTCCTTGTTACATAATCCTCTGCTTCCTTGTTTACTGATTTCTCTAATCTCAGCAATCTATTACTGATTGTGTCGTTCTGCAGTCTTAAGTTAAGAACAACTGCACCAATCTCAGTAGTCTTTTTAGAATGATCTTCAATAACCTCATTAACTTTTTCTATCAACTTGTCCGTTTTGAAATGCAATTCGTCTACTTTTGTGTCTACTTGTTCTTTGTCCCGGATACTGGGCTGCTTGTTTATTTGTTGCTTGTGACTCATGAATTCTACATTAAATTGCTTCACTCCTGTAATGTTGCCTAATATCATATCGTATGGCCCGTTTTTGAAAACAGCTGCTTCAACTGTTTTACACGCTGAGGGTGTGGCTATGGTGACTATGGCTGTTGGCCAAACATATGTGCTGCCTCTTGAACTGTGGACACGTTGTGTTCTGCCTGTGTATTGGTGGTGTTGTACGAATGTGTTACGTACTGCCACTGTTGAGCAGTGTGTGTCCCTAATTGCTGTGGCGTATCTGTTATTAATTTTTGACGTAAATGTGTCTGTTCTTTTACTGGCTTCTGTAAACGATGACATAAATGCTATTCTATTAATCTGTCTATATTTTGGTCTGTTGCGTTGTGCATCTTGTTGGCGTCTATCATAATATCGTATTCTGCAATTTATTTGTTTGTGGCCTGTTCTATTACAATAGTAGCATCTGACACTGTAATTGTGTTTCTGTTGACTGTAGTTAATCTGAATGTTGTGATTTGCCGTATTATGTTTTTGGAGTGTATGTTGTGTTTCACTTTTTGTTGTAGGTATTTCGCTTGCTTCACTGAACGTGTCATCTGAATCTGAATCGTAGGAATAGTAAAATGTTGTTTCGGCTGTCTGGTTGTTATTATTAGTATCTAAACTTTGCACCGTTTCTTGTTTGGCTTGGCAAAGTTCTCTCAATTTTTCTCTTTCTTTACGAATTCTTTCTGTTTCTTCTTTAATTCCGGCAATATATGTTTCTGCTTCTCTTTGTTTCTCTGCTAACTCGGCATCTATCTTTGCATCATATTCTTCTTCAGTCAACAAGGAATCTGGATCTCCGGTTACCTTATAATCTACAATTCTATTGATCAAATCTTCCATAGCATCTGGATCATCTAGAGTTTTTGCGTCAAATTCTTTAACAGTTAATAACCAGTCTCGATTTTCTGTTGTCGTGTATTGTCCAAGCCTAATAATCAATTCATCCAGAATATCTGGATCCTCAATAGTTCTTGAATTGCTTTTCACTTTGACTGTATTCTGAACATTTATATCTAGTAACGAGTTATCAATTCTACCTGACTCTTTTAGGCCTGACTTAAGCTCAGTTTTAGTGCCCACTTCGTACAATGGAGGCATTTTTAAGGGTAGTGTGGTTGAAGAAACAGATAAGAAAGAGGCAGAAAAACCGCTGGTACCAAACATCCAGCACGAGTCTAAAACCAAACGTTTAAAAAAAATTTGGAAGGTACTTATCTTTTTGGACATGTAGACTGTTTCCTTGTGTTGTTAATCCAAACTCGTTCCGGTTGAAGAAACCCGCTGTTGTGTTGAGTTGAAGAAAGCTGTACACCAGATGTACTCCGTCATGAGTAACCCGATATACTGTCTTTCCTGTACTCGACCCGCGCTCCACCAGTTGTGAGGGTGGGGGTTTTAAGAGAGGCCGGAACGAATGAATCCAACAACACACAGTTCAAGTTCAACTATAATTGTTCTTTATTAAAATGATATATATGTTCAAGTTTCTACCTAACTGATCTACACTGTACTATTTACTTCTACTACTGACTGTTCATACCACATGCTACCTACTACTACGCACTCCCATGACCAATCCTAACACTAACTAACTGTTCCGTAGCTCTGCAAATTACAACCGTCTCCAACCACTACCTAACACCTTCTCTCCTCGCTAGCTACCTATCAACTCCTGGCCTATCGCTCTACTGACCCACGCCTCAGTGGTCAGCTGACCGTCCCACGTGACCGGTCAGCTCTGTGCGCCCATTGGCCTCTCTAACCAACCAACTAGGCCTATAGTCTGTTTCTGCTAACCTATATCTGCTAAACATGTCTGACGTAATCTTGCGTCATCACACTTACCCCTGCACTAATCAACCTGTCCCTGCACTAATCAACCTGTCCTTACCCCTGCACTAATCAACCTGTCCCTGCACTTATCAACCTGTCCCTGCTTTAATCAACCTGTACTTACCCCTGCTCTAATCAACCTGTCCCTGCACTAATCAACCTGTCCCTACACTAACCAACCTGTCCTTACACTAATCAACCTGTCCTTACCTCTACACTAATCAACCTGCCCTTACCCCTGCACTAATCAACCTGTCCCTGCACTTATCAACCTGTCCCTGCTTTAATCAACCTGTACTTACCCCTGCTCTAATCAACCTGTCCCTGCACTAATCAACCTGTCCCTACACTAATCAACCTGTCCTTACACTAATCAACCTGTCCTTACCTCTACACTAATCAACCTGCCCTTACCCCTGCACTAATCAACCTGTCCCTGCACTTATCAACCTGTCCCTGCTTTAATCAACCTGTACTTACCCCTGCATTAATCAACCTGTCCCTGCACTAATCAACCTGTCCCTACACTAATCAACCTGTCCCTGCACTAATCAACCTGTCCTTACCCCTGCACTAATCAACCTGTCCCTGCACTAATCAACCTGTCCTTACACTAATCAACCTGTCCTTACCTCTACACTAATCAACCTGTCCTTACACTAATCAACCTGTCCTTACACTAATCAACCTGTCCTTACACTAATCAACCTGTCCTTACCCCTGCACCAATTAACCTGCCCTTGCACTAATCAACCTGTCCTTGCACTAATCAACCTGTCCTTACCTCAGCCTACTAGAGACCACTGGCACCCTATTCTGGGCGGCTTTCGGCATGGGCGTCTCCGTGGCACCGGCCATTGAGGACCAGGTGCAGGAGGGGGAGGCGAGCAGCGGCAAGGACGGGGAGATCCCAGACAGTGTCAAGTTGAAGGTCGTGGAGGTGGTGGGCTACATCCTGTACGGCGTCTACATCCTGGGCGCCGTGGTCGTACTCATCAACATGCTCATCGCCATGATGAGCAACACGTTTGAGGACATTCAGGTGAGTACTCATCAACATGCTCATCGCCATGATGAGCAACACGTTTGAGGACATTCAGGTGAGTACTCATCAACATGCTCATCGCCATGATGAGCAACACGTTTGAGGACATTCAGGTGAGTACTCATCAACATGCTCATCGCCATGATGAGCAACACGTTTGAGGATATCCAGGTGAGTACTCATCAACATGCTCATCGCCATGATGAGCAACACGTTTGAGGACATTCAGGTGAGTACTCATCAACATGCTCATCGCCATGATGAGCAACACGTTTGAGGACATTCAGGTGAGTACTCATCAACATGCTCATCGCCATGATGAGCAACACGTTTGAGGACATTCAGGTGAGTACTCATCAACATGCTCATCGCCATGATGAGCAACACGTTTGAGGACATTCAGGTGAGTGCTCATCAACATGCTCATCGCCATGATGAGCAACACGTTTGAGGACATTCAGGTTAGTGCTCATCAACATGCTCATCGCCATGATGAGCAACACGTTTGAGGATATTCAGGTGAGTGCTCATCAACATGCTCATCGCCATGATGAGCAACACGTTTGAGGATATTCAGGTGAGTGCTCATCAACATGCTCATCAGGTCAGTGCTCACTGGAAATATTTTTTGACTTGATTTAAGACTCCAGAGAATACACAAATGTTAGTAGAACATGTTTTCATGTATTATGAAAGACATTTTTTTAAAATAAAATCTTTTATCATGTAAAAATGTATTAAAAGCCTTATAATTATGTTTACAATGAAGTCAATTCAGTAGACCGATGCACTGTTAGCGTTAAACACCAGTGGGTTATCGTGAAACCTTCAGCATTGTTGTTTATAAAATTTAGCATGTAACAATGTCGACTGGAAACACTTTGTTAACATTCAATTTGTTCATGAGAAATTTGAGAACTTTATGTTCACAATGGCTTACACACCCAACTAGAACTAAACAGATACAGTAAATCTCACAGCCAAGCTCTCAAATTAATTGCTTCGTTATATTCTTTCGCGTTTACCTCATTTAAACTGTTCTCTTCAACATTTGTTTCGTTTAACCTACTTTCACTTTCCTTGTATTACGTTAAATTTTAGGCTTTAAAGGTTAAGTAGATCATCAAACGCACTGAAGAAATAGAGTCCACATGTCTTTACTACGGCGATATTTTATAATTTGTGACTATTATAACTTTGAACATTTCTCAACGCCCCCCCCCCACCCCACCCTCCTTTCAGAAAAGCGAGGACAGTGAGTGGAAGTTTGCCCGGGCCAAACTTTGGATCTCCTTCATAGAGCAAGGCACCACCCTGCCCATCCCCTTCAACATTATCCCCACCCCCAAGTCTATCCTGCGTCTGTTCCGCTGGTTCAGGGACTGTGTCTGTTGTGAGGTGGTAAGTTCTAGAAATTGTTGCATTTTATAATGTGGTAAATTCTTCAAATTGTATTGTTTTAAAGGTGGTAAGTTCTAGAAATAGTTGCATTTTATGATGTGGTAAATTCTTCAAATTGTATTGTATTAAAGGTGGTAAGTTCTAGAAATTGTTGCATTTTATGATGTGGTAAATTCTTCAAATTGTATTGTATTAAAGGTGGTAAGTTCTAGAAATTGTTGCATTTTATGATGTGGTAAATTCTTTAAATGTTCTTGTATGATAAGGTATTAAGTTTTGGAAATAGTTGAATTTTATAATGTGGTTAGTTCTTCAAATACTTTTATATCATAACGTGATAAGTACTTTGAATACATTGAGCCAAGGCAAGTCTAAGAATGTCTTTGTTTAAATGGTATGGTTAGTTCTCTGATAGTGATTTTTGTGATATCATTTCTTTGCAAATGGGGTTGAGTTTGTCGTTAGCATTTTATCGGATCGAAACTCCTTGCTTGTTGAGAGATGTTAAATTGTTCCAAAACCAAACTAAAACGGTTTCTTAATACTCACTGTTAGACCTACTACTAAATTAAAAACTGTGTATATACGCAATGCTAAAAAAATTCAATGCAACAGTTACACAATCACCGTATTTTTCGCTGTTTAGTTTAAAGAATAACATTCATAACCTCACGGCTGGATGTACTAATTGCCTCAAACAACTCGCATTATCGGAGGAATTTTATTGCCGGCATATTGACTAAGCTGTACATAATTTATTTGGTTTATTGCCTCAGCGGTTTTTAGACTCGTCATGGATAATTACATCTCTACTTTGTTTCTGTTGGCGTCATCAGGGGCGTAGCTATGGTGCACAGGGTGGGTGGTCTAAACAGGTTGTTTCTGTTGGTGACATCAGGGGCGTAGCTATGGTGCACAGGGTGGGTGGTCTAAACAGGTTGTTTCTGTTGGTGACATCAGGGGCGTAGCTATGGTGCACAGGGTGGATGGCCTAAACAGGTTGTTTCTGTTGGTGACATCAGGGGCGTAGCTATGGTGCACAGGGTGGGTGGTCTAAACAGGTTGTTTCTGTTGGTGACATCAGGGGCGTAGCTATGGTGCACAGGGTGGATGGCCTAAACAGGTTGTTTCTGTTGGTGACATCAGGGGCGTAGCTATGGTGCACAGGGTGGGTGGCCTAAACATGTTGTTTCTATCCAAACACATACACTGACAGTTAGAGAAATCGGGATTTATAAATAGGCCCATATTAGGAAGTGTATAGTCTACCAGGAGTACATCAGATACTATTTCTGTACTAGTCTATATGGACATTGTGATATCTCAATATCTTTACCTGTCTATATATAATAATATACCTATAATCTGGTCCAACTTTTAGTGTGTTTTTGTTTTGTTTTTGTTACTATGTTTTCCAACAGGTTATATTATAACATATATGATCTCTTTCCACCCCGCCCCCATACCCTATCCCACCGCCCCTCCCATATCCAATCGGTTCCAGGACAGAAATGAATGGAAGAAAGAGGACGTCAAACACTATGAGCTTGAGTACAAGGTAAGCTAAAACTGATGACGTCATTGCTTTATTAAAAAAAAACTTTTGTTCTAGGAAAATAGAATATTTGCACATACACTTTCAATGTACAAACAATATATTTTAAATAAGCGTTTTCAAAGCATGCATCAAGCAGTATGTGGATATGTTATTGATGTAAAGTGATGTTTTCTTTTCTGATCTCCCAACCCAACAGGCGATAATGCACCGTGTTGTCTTGAGGTATATCCACAAGATGAAGTTTGAGAAGAAAGGAGAGAGTCTGAAAGATGGTAAGTACCAGACCTGTGGAACAGATCTTCTAGAGATGTTGTTTGTTATGAAACAAAGTAGAAACTAACCACAGCACGCTTGTGCTATTTATAGGCAGTGCAAAATGGCAGTGTGAAACAGAGGCGTAGCTAGGGCGGGGCGGGGGGGGGGGGGGTGCAGGCCGCACCGGGTGACACCATTTAAGGGAGTGACACCAAGGCAAAAAAAAATGCCAAATTTTCAGAAGAAAAATGTTTTTTGCCTGTCGCATTAATAATTTAAGTACAAATTTAGTAATTGATATAGATATATACTTTGTTTCGGGGGGGGGGGGGCACACGCACCACGAAGCGCCGCACCCGGGTGACACCCGATCTAGCGACGCCACTGGTGTGAAATAGGAAATGGCACATAGCAATTGCTACTGCCTGTAGCTAATGTTTATCTCTGTAGACAGTGCTAATCTCTATAGCTCATGTTAGTGTCACTGACTAATACAAGTTTGTACCTGTCGCTACACCTCCCTATCCCACATAATGTGAACCCTATCCACCCACTTCTGTCCCCCACCGTAGCCAATCGTCACATCTATCAGAACCCCACACCCCACCCTCCCACCACAAGTAGCACACACCAACCACGTCTAAAATGCCCCCCGCCCCCACCAAACTTATGTGACGACATCTACAACACTCAACATACTAACATCAGGATCTACTCCTTACCCACCCCCACCCCACACCCAACACACTAACCCCAGGTTGTACTACATCCCACCCCACCCCGCCCACCCCAAACCCAACTTATGTGAAGACATTTTAACACCCAGCACACTAACCTCAGAATCTACTCCTTACCCCCCCCCCCCCCCCCGCTTCCCCCCCCCCCCCATACCCCACAACCATCACACAAACCTCACGATCTACCTCCACACAAAAAATATAATGTTTGTATCCAGATATCCTGGACACCCGGGAGGAGATGATCTACCAGCTGCACTCCATGTACGGTCGTCTGGCGGCCAGGCTGGAACTTTTGGAGCGTGACGTCTACTCCATCTCCAGACACGCATGGGTAGGTCGGACACATGCACATACGTGCACATCCGCATGTGCACAGTGCACATGCTCACGCGCACACACAAGCACATACATGCATATATATATATATATATATATATATATATATATATATATATATGTATAATATATATATATATAGTTATATATAAATAATATATAAAATATAAATAAATAAATATATATATATGTATATAAATATATGTATATAAATATATATATATATATATATATATATATATATATATATATATATATATATATATATATATATATATATATTTATATACTTGTAAACATATTGTATTTATATGTATGTATGTACCCAACACCAGGATGGAAACGGAAGTCCCACCCACTCGACACTGTCCTACTCCAGGTCCGTCCCATCCCACCAGGGTAACGACAGTGTACGCAACTCTACAACTGATCTGCCCAGGGAACCTTTCCTCTACAGGCGACGGTCTTATTACCACGAGCGTCCCAAGAGGGAAGTAAGTACGTTTATTTTTCTTACTTTTGGTTTGGTTGTAAAGGGAAGTAATTGTCCTAATAAATATGGTCTAGTTGTTTGTTCCGCAAGAGAGTAAGTTATTTAAAATATTTTTTATTTTTAAAACATGTTTTTATAATTGCATACTACAAATGTTAGATATTACTTAGTGATCTTTACAATTTTTATAATTCTGAACATATTTTATGAACTCATACCTTAACTGCTTTGCCGATCTGTATTTTATTAATAAAGGGTTGAAGAAAGAAATAGCAATGTGTGGCTTAGGTCGTTTAGAACAAAATCTTCAAATGAAAAAAAAAATCAAATGAAAAAAAAAAAAAGCATTTTTTTAAATACCTTGAATCTTCATGTAATTACACATTTGCATTCTCAGTTGGTTTAAAAAAAAATTGTAATTAGACGTTTTGTATTAGATCTATGTATAAGAAAACCATCTTAAATGAATGAAAGTAGACTACAAGTAAGAAAGAAGTATTACTATTGTAAATCTGTATCAGTCCTCACAAGCCGATGATGAAAACTGTAATAATAAAGTGAACATGCAAGGCAAACTAACACTGTAAATTGGATGTCTGAGGTGAAATAAAAAAATACAAAAATACCGTTACAGCATCAATTGTGCACTGTATATGCGTATAAAAGCTTGTTGCTATACACATATTTTTAAATTTGTTTCATTTTCTTTTTCGTGATTTCTCATTAATAACGTCGACACGGCTAAAAATATTTGCATTAAAACACCATCAGTAGCTCGCGATATCTGAAAGACGATTGTCTGCTTCGTGAAAGCAGCCGTCCGTGACCATATATTACAGAAGACAGCAAGTTCTTCATCGTTATCTCCCATTAGATTCAAATTATTTTAAAATCAAATGATCTGCCCCTAATAGCCTTCGATTGTAAATACTCTCGTGAACCACAGCTCTTAAATATTAGTTTGGATATCGTGGCATTTAGACAAGATGTGATTACCAGGGGTCGGCAACCTGCGGCTCGCGAGCCGTATGCGGCTCTTTTGCTGTGAAGATGCGGCTCTCCAGCTCCTTGCACAAATATTAATAGTTATATTATTTCATTTTCAAAACTCATATTAAATATCATAATGTAAAGAAAAACAACTTTAAACTGAATTAAAACACTTATCAGAGAACAGTTGTAATATGTGCAGTAGAAAGTAAACCGACAGCTGACAGCAGCTTGGACACCAGGCCCAGCCCTACAGCACAGTGGCAACAATTTAATGCTTGCCACTGCCCAAGTGCCGACTTTTTCAAATGTACTTAAATGTGGAATGAAATTTTTTAAAATTCAGAATGCATTTCCCTATCTGTCGGTAATCATTAATTTGACCTGAGCTAATTATTTTAAATAACAATTCACATTTATTTACCGAGTCCTAATCAAATAATAAAATACTGAAATAAAAATGTTAGTGACTCTTTAAATACTAGGATTATTTTGAAAATTCTAAATTTTGGCTCTTCAGTCTCAAAAGGTTGCCGACCCCTGGTTTACACTGTCGAGCTAAGTCCAAAATTGCGTTACTGTCTTTTCTGTCTAACCTGTAACCACTCTGTTGTGTTCTGACGAAGACCTTGGGTCGAAAGGTGCATGGTTTTTGTAACTGTTTTTAACTTGTGAGGTAACTAACACTATCTGTATTATTACCGATTGTATTAACTTCACTGCAGCTGCCATTTGTATTTAACAAATATCTTAACAACTAAGCTTAGAATTGTAGATTTTAAAAATCACAAAATTATTTTTAAATTTTAAAAATCTGAATTACGTCCCTTTAATTGCAGCTACCAGTTGTATTTAACAAATATCTTAACAACTTGACAATTAAGCTTAGAATTGTAGATTTAAAATAAAAAAAAAAATGATTTTTTTAAAAAAAAAGCTGAATTACTTCCCTTTATTGATTAATCATTCAGATTTCTCCCCCCTAACTAGGCTTTAGAAGGCGGCGGGCGGCTCTCTTTAGAAGAAAGACTACGCAAATATAGCGGCGAGGACGTGCATGTCCGGGGGTTTAGGGCGTCCCAGGGCAACATCCACGAGATGGACACCAACATGTCGGACGGAGACAAGAGGTGCAGAAAGGTCAGCAGCGGTCAGACACCCATACGGAGCAGCACGCCATCTATGCTGGCGGGTCAAGGTTGCGGTGGGAATGGTAGGTCGTTGGTGATGTTGGTGGGAGCTTGGTTTAAAGGTCTAGAGGTCAGGACTACTTAGGGAATGGTAGGTCATTGGTGATGTTTGTGGGAGCTTTAAAGGTCAAGAGGTCCAGGCTACAGTGGGAATGGTAGGTCATTGGTGATGTTGGTGGGAAGTTAAAAGGTCAAGAGGTCAGGACTACTTAGGGAATGGTAGGTCATTGGTGATGTTGGTGGGTGCTTGGTTTAATTAGGTCTTGAGGTCTAGGCTACAGGAATTAGGTCTAGAGGTCCAGGCTACAGGAATTAGGTCTAGAGGTCCAGGCTACAGGAATTAGGTCTAGAGGTCTAGGCTACAGGAATTAGGTCTAGAGGTCCAGGCTACAGGAATTAGGTCTAGAGGTCTATGCTACAGGAATTAGGTCTAGAGGTCCAGGCTAGAGGAATTAGGTCTAGAGGTCCAGGCTACAGGAATTAGGTCTAGAGGTCTATGCTACAGGAATTAGGTCTAGAGGTCCAGGCTACAGGAATTAGGTCTAGAGGTCCAGGCTACAGGAATTAGGTCTAGAGGTCCAGGCTACAGGAATTAGGTCTAGAGGTCCAGGCTACAGGAATTAGGTCTAGAGGTCCAGGCTACAGGAATTAGGTCTAGAGGTCCAGATACAGGAATTAGGTCTAGAGGTCCAGATACAGGAATTAGGTCTAGAGGTCCAGGCTACAGGAATTAGGTCTAGAGGTCCAGGCTACAGGAATTAGGTCTAGAGGTCCAGATACAGGAATTAGGTCTAGAGGTCCAGGCTACAGGAATTAGGTCTAGAGGTCCAGGCTACAGGAATTAGGTCTAGAGGTCCAGATACAGGAATTAGGTCTAGAGGTCCAGGCTACAGGAATTAGGTCTAGAGGTCCAGGCTACAGGAATTAGGTCTAGAGGTCCAGGCTACAGGAATTAGGTCTAGAGGTCCAGGCTACAGGAATTAGGTCTAGAGGTCCAGGCTACAGGAATTAGGTCTAGAGGTCCAGGCTACAGGAATTAGGTCTAGAGGTCCAGATACAGGAATTAGGTCTAGAGGTCCAGGCTACAGGAATTAGGTCTAGAGGTCCAGGCTACAGGAATTAGGTCTAGAGGTCCAGGCTACAGGAATTAGGTCTAGAGGTCCAGGCTACAGGAATTAGGTCTAGAGGTCCAGGCTACAGGAATTAGGTCTAGAGGTCCAGGCTACAGGAATTAGGTCTAGAGGTCCAGGCTACAGGAATTAGGTCTAGAGGTCCAGGCTACAGGAATTAGGTCTAGAGGTCCAGGCTACAGGAATTAGGTCTAGAGGTCCAGATACAGGAATTAGGTCTAGAGGTCCAGATACAGGAATTAGGTCTAGAGGTCCAGGCTACAGGAATTAGGTCTAGAGGTCCAGGCTACAGGAATTAGGTCTAGAGGTCCAGATACAGGAATTAGGTCTAGAGGTCCAGGCTACAGGAATTAGGTCTAGAGGTCCAGGCTACAGGAATTAGGTCTAGAGGTCCAGATACAGGAATTAGGTCTAGAGGTCCAGGCTACAGGAATTAGGTCTAGAGGTCCAGGCTACAGGAATTAGGTCTAGAGGTCCAGGCTACAGGAATTAGGTCTAGAGGTCCAGGCTACAGGAATTAGGTCTAGAGGTCCAGGCTACAGGAATTAGGTCTAGAGGTCCAGGCTACAGGAATTAGGTCTAGAGGTCCAGATACAGGAATTAGGTCTAGAGGTCCAGGCTACAGGAATTAGGTCTAGAGGTCCAGGCTACAGGAATTAGGTCTAGAGGTCCAGGCTACAGGAATTAGGTCTAGAGGTCCAGGCTACAGGAATTAGGTCTAGAGGTCCAGGCTACAGGAATTAGGTCTAGAGGTCCAGGCTACAGGAATTAGGTCTACTAGAGGTCCAGGCTACAGGAATTAGGTCTAGAGGTCCAGGCTACAGGAATTAGGTCTAGAGGTCCAGGCTACAGGAATTAGGTCTAGAGGTCTATGCTACTTAGGGAATGGTAGATAAATGGTGATGTTAGTGGCAGTTTAGTTTAATTAGGGGTTGCGTTGATAGTTGCTGTTTAATTAAGTCTAGAGTCTAGAGGTCTAGGATACAGAGGGAATGGTGAATCATAGGTGATGGTAGTAGCTTGGTGTAATTTACGTTCGAGTTCAAGGAATGCTAGAACACGTACAGCTTAGGTTTACTAGCGGGTAGGGGTCCAGGCTACTGTGGTAATGTTAGGTCACTACTTATGCTAGTGGTAACTTGGTTTATTCAGGTCTTGAGGTCCAAGCTAGAATTTGAATGGTCGGTCAATGGTGATGTTGGAAGCTTGATTTTACTAGTAAATTCAGGCTAGTTTTACAAGTATATTTTCTGATTGATTATGTAGTAATGTCATGACTATATTTAAATTATTACTTTAAATAAACTTTAATTATATGTAAATCGTGACTACAGGTAATTTATTAAAAAAGTTAAATTTTAACTATAAGTAATAGACGACTGTAGTTAAACTATGACCATTTGTAGAACCTGACTACAGGTAGAGTATTATTGAATGTGTCATAGTTTTGTTTTCTCACAGCCACGGTGCACGGGAGCGGGGAGCAGACGAGGAAAGAATCTGTGGCCAGTGCCACGTCACAGTGTCCATCTGATGTAGACGAGTATTCGCTCACACGTAGGGACTCTCACAGGATTAGGGGAGACGGGGCGTAAGTGAGCAACACTACTCTATATACACCATATATATATATATATATATATATATATATATATATATATATATATATATATATATATATATATAATTTTTTCATTATATTATGTATATATATATAATATATGTATGTATATATACATATAATTTTTTTAATATTATATAAACATATATATATATATATATATATATATATATATATATATATATATATATATATATATATATATATATATATATATATATAAATAAATAAATATATATATATATATATATATATATATATATATATATATATATATATATATATATATATATATATATATATATATATATAATTTTTCATTATATTATATATATATTTTATTTTTATTTCATGTTTTGAATATTTAATTTCTTATTCTCTGATTATATGCGATACAGTTATATGTATGTCTCAACTATGAGAAACTTTGTTTTATAAATACAATACGTTGATGTAACGCCATCGTTGTTTGTAGCTTCAGCCCGCGGCCTGGCGGGGAGCGACGTGGCAGGGACGATAACCTACGCGGCAGCCGCAAGGGCTACAACTCTAGCCCGATCTGGAACCAGGGGGTCATCAAGGAGTCCTCGCTGGAAGACCAGATCAACAGCAGCGAGGCGGAGAGCTCGTTCAGCGTCCAACCGGAGACTTACGTGGGCGGCGGCAAGCGGAGGGAGACGTACAACCACCCCAACATTGACGCCCCCTTCGGGCTCCCAGGGTGGGTTACTTTCTGGTGTATATGACGACTTAAACAATGTCATCTAAATCTTGCGATAAAGCAATGAGAACTTTTATAGATAACAATTGACATTCTTTCATGATAGCCATTATAATTTTTTTGTTTAGCTGTTAGTAATTTTTGTAGAATACCATTCATAAGGTATGGCGTCGTCGAACTATAGAGTATTTGGCTGCCATCCTGAGGGTCTCGAGTTCGGATCTAGAAGGACGTCCACGAGTCCACCCAGCTTTAATGGGTACCTGACTTACGCTGGGGAAAGTAAAGGCGGCTGGGCATAGTGCTGTCCACACCATGCATATGCCAGTCATATAACATGAACTCTACATCATCTGCCTAATGGATCTCTAAGTCTAAAGTGAAATCTATCATTTTTAAAACCATTCATTATATATCTGGATATTCCGTCGTAACATACATTTTGTGGATTAAGTCCAATAGCTGTGTAGTAATAAGTTTATCTACTGTTAGGTAACACAACATTTTAGATTAAACAAAGATTTGCTTACTTTGGGATCATTTAAACTTCCTTTCACATTGACTTTAAAGCGTTTCAAAATATTGGCAACTGAGTAAAGTTGATGTCGCATATAGAAGCTATACTCTTATCATTTATTTCACTTTCTGAAACGTAAAAAAGTCATAACTGACCTCATTGTCTTTGGGTGAATAGACTTATTGTATCACTTTACTTCTGTCGATTATTTAAACACAATACGATTTGGCACCACTTTGGCAAGGGTAAAAAGGTTGTGACAAACAGTAGAAAGTTTAAAATTACATTGGAATCACTCTAAAAATATGAGATTTCTGATTAATCTCTCTGATTGACAGTCGTAATAGTTTAGAATTGTAAGAATCTTAGGAGTTTATTAATTGTCATTTAGAACCTTATGTTTTCGAGGACAATGGTAAAGACTTTAAAAGTCCTACAGAAATACAAAGTTTTTAATAGACTATAATTTAAACGTATGTCAAATAGGACTTTTGTATTTCTTTGTTGACCACACACGACCTACTATTGTTACTTTTCTGCACAGTGGTTTTCTAAAAAGTAACAACCTATTTAAACATGTATATTTACAAACTTGCTTTTTCTCTAGTGAAAATATATACTTATACACGTGATATTCTTATTACTCTCCCTCTACCCAGAGATTCCAGCGCACATTCAAACAGCTTCAAAGAATACCACGAGCCCCGCCCACCAAGAACCGACACCATCCAGAACCTGGTCCTAGACGTCCACCAGATACCTTTCACCAAGCTGGAAGCGGGAACGAATCCCGTCAAAGACAGCCTGTCCCCTACCGAGGAAGACGCCGAGAAGGGCAGACACTGGAGCTGCGCCTCCACCCCGCGCTCTGCTGACGACCGCGCAGGACCGAAGACCTTCACCTTCTCCGTGCCGTGCTCCAGGTCCAACCCCTACGGGTGTAAGCACGAGAGTACCAAAAGCTACAACAGCGACAGCCACAACAGCAGCAACAGCCACAACAACAGCAGCAACAACGAGAGCGACAGCGAGGATCAGTACGCGGCGAAAATCTCGAACGTTGCTCTACAGCAGAAAAATCGTATGTATCGATACCAAGTGAACTCTCGACTCGCTGGTAAATCGGCAAACGATACTGATATCGACACTCGACCAGAACAGAAACTAGATCCCGTGGTCTTGACAAACAATCCAAATGAGTCGACATTCAATAACGGCAGAAAAGTAGGCCACGTCAATCATATCTACGTGCCTGAACCTCAGCCGCGAGACAGTTCTGTAGACCCCAAAACCCGCGATACTAGCAACACAAATTCCCAAACGAATACCCGTTCACAAAGCGATTCCATCTTCTACACAAAAGTACCGCTGGAAACTAAATCTATTTTTAGCGAAGGATCCGCCTATCCCATTACGTCATTTTATCAAAACAGAAAGGACGGCCGACTTCTAACCGCAGAACTAAAAGACGGTTTAAATGCAATAAATGATTCTGAATATGTTACAAACTTGATTAGGAATAATTTATTAAAACATAGCTTGATCCCACTGGCGAAATCCGAGGTGTTCAACCCGGATAACGACTCGAATTTACCGGCTTCAGGGACGGAAAAAGATTTTGTGGCCTCGGTTCATCGAGACGCGCCCACCGTTCACGAGGAAGAAGAAGACGACTACATTGACGCCTACCACGACATGAAGTCTTACCTCGAGCCGGCACCCGAGGAGCTGGGGATGGTCCGGCACCACTCGGAGATGACCCACCACCCCCAGCCCCGGGGCGGGTTCTTAAAGAAACGAGAATCGCTTCCGGCGGTGCCCGTCGCTGCCAGCAAACACCACCGGATTTTAGTCAGCAACCGCGACTCTCGGTCTCGCTATCTGGCATCCAACCCCTCCCACCAAGACTACCACCCACCGACCACGTGGTACCCGTATTATCAGTACCCACCCGATCAGGACATGACCACCAGCTACCTACCTCCACAGGAATACGAAATGACTCCCATGGTCATCCCATCCATGGCGGCCAACTTGCTCCCATTTCCCATCCCAGTCCAAACCAACGACGTCTACGTCCAGCGCCCTCCGTCAACATCCGACCAAGAACAAGGCAACAGCAGCGGCAACGAGAGCCAGACGCCGAAGAGAAAAACCTCCAGCGGGAAGAAACCGAGCCTCGTCTCTCTAGTCAGGGGCCGGCGGTCCGACAAAATCAAAGGCAACATCTCCGAGATCAAACACAACCGAAGCCTTTCGCTCAACCGCTTCAGCGGCTCCAGGAGAGAGAGGCTCAAGACACTGCAGAGCCAGAGAAGCAAGGAGGTTTGATGCCAACTCTGTTTAGACTCGAGGTTTGATGGCAACTCTGTTTAGAAACGAGGTTTGATGCCAACTCTGTTTAGACTCGAGGTTTGATGGCAACTCTGTTTAGACTCGAGGTTTGATGCCAACTCAGTTTAGACTCGAGGTTTGATGCCAACTCTGTTTAGACTCGAGGTTTGATGGCAACTCTGTTTAGACTCGAGGTTTGATGTCAACTCTGTTTAGACTCGAGGTTTGATGCCAACTCTGTTTAGAAACGAGGTTTGATGCCAACTCTGTTTAGACTCGAGGTTTGATGGCAACTCTGTTTAGACTCGAGGTTTGATGCCAACTCTGTTTAGACTCGAGGTTTGATGCCAACTCTGTTTAGACTCGAGGTTTGATGCCAACTCTGTTTAGACTCGAGGTTTGATGCCAACTCTGTTTAGACTCGAGGTTTGATGCCAACTCTGTTTAGACTCGAGGTTTGATGGCAACTCTGTTTAGACTCGAGGTTTGATGGCAACTCTGTTTAGACTCGAGGTTTGATGCCAACTCTGTTTAGACACGAGGTTTGATGCCAACTCTGTTTAGACTCGAGGTTTGATGCCAACTCTGTTTAGACTCGAGGTTTGATGGCAACTCTGTTTAGACTCGAGGTTTGATGTCAACTCTGTTTAGACTCGAGGTTTGATGCCAACTCTGTTTAGACTCGAGGTTTGATGTCAACTCTGTTTAGACTCGAGGTTTGATGCCAACTCTGTTTAGACTCGAGGTTTGATGCCAACTCTGTTTAGACTCGAGGTTTGACTCTGTTTAGACTCGAGGTTTGATGCCAACTCTGTTTAGACTCGAGGTTTGATGGCAACTCTGTTTAGACTCGAGGTTTGATGTCAACTCTGTTTAGACTCGAGGTTTGATGCCAACTCTGTTTAGACACGAGGTTTGATGCCAACTCTGTTTAGACTCGAGGTTTGATGTCAACTCTGTTTAGACTCGAGGTTTGATGCCAACTCTGTTTAGACTCGAGGTTTGATGCCAACTCTGTTTAGACTCGAGGTTTGACTCTGTTTAGACTCGAGGTGTGATGCCAACTCTGTTTAGACTCGAGGTTTGATGGCAACTCTGTTTAGACTCGAGGTTTGATGCCAACTCTGTTTAGACTCGAGGTTTGACTCTGTTTAGACTCGAGGTGTGATGCCAACTCTGTTTAGACTCGAGGTTTGATGGCAACTCTGTTTAGACTCGAGGTTTGATGCCAACTCTGTTTAGACTCGAGGTTTGATGGCAACTCTGTTTAGACTCGAGGTTTGATGCCAACTCTGTTTAGACTCTTTCAAATATTCTCATCGGTATATGCAACTGCTGTTGTCTATCACACTTGTACAGTTACACTTTTGTATTGAGCTCGGTAGTGGTGAGTGTTTCAGCAAAATTTACATTAAATAAAAACATAATCCAATTGTTTTGCCAGTATTTGTTCATAAGGCATATATACATGTACAAATGTCGTTAAGTTAGAAACACAACTATACACATAACATATAAGCGTGTATTATCTGTCTATGCCATATTATATGATGTAGAGTGACATATGATATGCAACATTCATTTATCTCAAATCTGAGAACACTAAATTTTCCCTATTTGACCTTTAGTTTCTATGTAAGACGCTAGACGGATGTCTATAGCGCCATTTCTAGGACCACAGCAGTCTTCTTCTTCCGTTCTTAATTTTTAGTGTTGGGAGGGATCGAGCCTTATCTGCCAGAGGGTTTGAACTCGAGACTTTTTTCGAATTTATCAACCGACTCGATTATGCTTCCATCACAGTTAAGGATTACGTGTCAACTGGTTATGCGCCATTGAGGCCATTGACTCCGATTTCAGCCTGCTTTTCTTTTTGGATTTGCTTCCATAGCCTTTGTCCAACCAAGAACAAACTACAAGGCAGCAGTTGTTTGATTTTGGAGTTGTCTCTCCTAGAAGAGTGGCTGTCCCCAGCTAACGAGCCTCATCTGCCCGAGGAATCGAACTCGAGACTTTTCGGTATAGCAACCATGAGCTTTACCGACTCGACCACGCCGACCCCAGCAGTGATAGGATAGACTTGAAAAGAGCCTGCTATAGCGAGCATCTCTTTTAACCTTACTATATGAAGCTGGTCTTCACTGAGGTATAATAATTGAAAACTTTGTCATGGAACAATCATGGAATAATAACAGAACCCTACGTTTTTGTATTTTATATTTATTTATATACCGAATCGGAGTAAACAACAGTAAATGTTAAAAAAATGTTATTAGGTGTGTGGTCAGCATCCAAACTTAACATGTAAGTTATGTCATCAATCAAAATATGAAATAAAAAATGATCAAAATTGTATGAATTAAAAAAATATCCACGTTAAAATATTTGGTTACATGGGCCTACGTCTTTTATAAATAAACATTTCTTATAAGTCATCAGTCAAAACACGATAGATCAGCAGTCAAATCACTCTAGGTCAGAGGTCAATACGAGACATGTCATTGGTCAAGGAATCGCCATAGTCAGTTCAACCAAGCAAAGCGTATTCTACAGTAAGTAATGTAGTATGTAACGTTTGAGATTCTTATCTCAAGTACCAAGGATGTTTACTACAGCACAGTTCCGTGGCGAATATATTGTCAACAAATGTATTTTAGACAATCAAACAGTAATTATGTGGATAGAATAAATATACATAATACAATAAATTCTTGATAATATGATAAATACTCTAAATGATATTTGATAATTGGCTCAATTTATACCAAAGCCAGCCTATATATATTTACATATATATATATTTACATATATATATATATTTACATATATATATATATTTACATATATATATATTTACATATATATATATATATATATATATATATATATATATATATATATACCATAGGCAATGTATTTAGGGCACTATATACAATATGTAAATAGGCTATTTTTAGTAAGTGTGGCATATATATATATATATATATATATATATATATATATATATATATATATATATCACCGCGTGTGCAATTATTTTGGCGGTGCGGGATATACGTCGCTGTATCGTGGCATCTTTTTGATGAGCCGCTCCACCTTGGGGTAGTACGGGCTGAAGGGCCCCAGCCTCTGTCGGACCATGATGCCCCGCCACCAAGCCTGGGCCTTGACAATGTGCTGACTCTGTTTCTCCAGTAGGGCCTTCTCCGTGTCATGTTTCGCCTTGATGCGCCTGGGGTGGAGTGGGTCATTCATCAGGTACGTTTTAGAAGGGTGATGGTAAGAGAAAAGACAAGCGGAGTGAAATAGTCAATTGGCTATGTTAGAGGAAATCCCTTACATCATTACACTTAAGAACGAAGAAGAAGAAGACGGACTAATATTGGTCTGATAGTCAACAGCTAGAACACAATGCTATGAGGTAAGGTTTTTCTAAATTTGCTTTAAATTATTGGATATATTTTTGTCACGCTGTTATCGATGGTAGGTTTAGGGTTTTTGGGTTAAGTGCAAGGGCTTAGTAGAGAGCTCAGAATTTTGGTTTAAGAGAGCGATACTTGTCACTTGGCCCACCCAGCATTAAAACATACCCAACCAGTCCCTGAGTCCACCCAGCATTAAAACATACCCAACCAGTCCCTGAGTCCACCCAGCATTAAAACATACCCAACCAGTCCCTGAGCCTACCCAGCTTTAAAACATACCCAACCAGTCCCTGAGCCTACCCAGCATTAAAACATACCCAACCAGTCCCTGATCCTACCCAGCATTAAAACATACCCAACCAGTCCCTGAGCATACCCAGCATTAAAACATACCCAACCAGTCCCTGAGCCCACCCAGCATTAAAACATACCCAACCAGTCCCTGAGTCCACCCAGCATTAAAACATACCCAACCAGTCCCTGAGTCCACCCAGCATTAAAACATACCCAACCAGTCCCTGAGTCCACTCAGCATTAAGACGTACCCAACGTAGAGGCATAATGATGACAACACAATTACACTGCTCTAGATCAGTACGCTACAAACAAAACCAAGCCGAGGTACGTTTAACCCAATTGACCCACCTATTGTCTGAGATGATGGGCATGTATTCCTCCGTCATATGGTGGATGTACTGGATCCTGTCTAGAACACGCTGACGGTCTTCCTTCAATGCGTCCAGCTCGTTGATTAGAATGTCCCTCTCTGTCTCGTATTTATCCACCCAAAAGGCCAAAAGTTCCTGGTGTAATCGAGCAAGAACCTTGTTTTACTGGGAGTGGGACAGTCGAGTAGCGAACATGAATGGCTCACACGAAAGGTTTGTTATATTTCAGGTAGAAGTATATCAGGGACCTGAGTACTCGGTCGTCTATACGCCTCAGTGTCTGGTCAATCTATACATCTGGGTACCCGGTCACTCTATACATATGGGTACCCAGTCAGATCGTATTTTTGGGTACCCGGTTACCCCTTTTTTAAATATCTGGGTACCCATTTAATCTATACATCTGTGTACCCATCTGATCGAATTTCTGGGTACCCGGTCCATCTATACATCTGGGTACCTGCCAAGTCTGTATCTATTGCTAACCAGTTGTGCTATTCATGTGGGTACTCGGCCATTCTATACATTATTCCACCGTTCGCAGTACATATGTATTTGTGCCATACTTAAAACGGACATTGATCAAAGCAAAAGTAGGCCTACCACAAACATTGTTGACATTTACAAACAATCACATGATATTACCAGCACACTATCACACCTATGCATAATCACACCTGCACACAATCACACCTGCACATAATCACACCTGAACATACTTACACCTGCACATAATAACACCTGCACATAATCACACCTGAAAATAATCACACCAGCACATAATCACACCTGCACACAATCACACCTGCACATAATAACACCTGCACATAATCACACCTGCACATAATCACACCTGCACATAATCACACCTGCACATAATCAACCCTGCACATAATAACACATGCGCATAATCACACCCGCACACAATCACACCTGCACATAATCACACCTGCACATAATCACATCTGCACATAATAACACCTGCACATAATCACACCTGCACACAATCACACCTGCACATAGTCTCACCTGCACATATTCACACCTGTACACAGTCTCACCTGTACTTATTCACACCTCCACATATCACACCTGTACATTATCACACCTGCACATATTCACACCTGCACATAATCACACCTGCACATAATCACACCTGCCCACAGTCTCACCTGCCCACAGCCACACCTGCCCACAGCCTCACCTGCCCACAGTCTCACCTGCCCACAGCCACACCTGCCCACAGTCTCACCTGCCCACAGCCTCACCTGCCCACAGCCTCACCTGCCCACAGCCTCACCTGCCCACAGCCACACCTGCCCACAGTCTCACCTGCCCACAACCTCACCTGCCCACAGCCTCACCTGCCCACAGTCTCACCTGCCCACAACCTCACCTGCCTACAGTCTCACCTGCCCACAGTCTCACCTGCCCACAACCTCACCTGCCTACAGTCTCACCTGCCCACAGTCTCACCTGCCCCCCCACCCCCCCCCCCGTTTACCTGTGTCTTCTGTGTCTTGTCCCTAATACTGTTCACCATGGCATAGTGACATTGAGTTTCCCTGGTCCGCTCCTTCTGCAGTGACCGTCGTTGATTGTCCACCTGCGCGTCATGGTTGATCCAGATCTTTCGGCTCTGTTTGATTTGCATCTCGGCTGACAGGTGGTGAGACAACAGTCGTTGGTACAGGTGGTGATACCAAGTGTTTGGTGTAGTGGTGATACCAAGTGTTTGGTGTAGTGGTGATACCAAGTGTTTGGTGTAGTGGTTATACCAAGTGTTTGGTGTAGTGGTGATACCAAGTGTCTGGTGTAAGGTGGTGATACCAGGTGTTTGGTGTATCTTCAAACCCAACCCCTATCTTTAAACCCCACCCCTATCTTTAAACCCCACCCCTATCTTTAAACCCCACCCCTATCTTTAAACCCCACCCCTATCTTTAAACCCCACCCCTATCTTTAAACCCCACCACTATCTTTAAACGCCACCCCTATCTTTAAACCCCACCCCTATCTTTAAACCCCACCCCTATCTTTAAACCCCACCCCTATCTTTAAACCCCACCCCTATCTTTAAACCCCACCCCTATCTTTAAACCCCACCACTATCTTTAAACCCCACCCCTATCTTTAAACCCCACCCCTATCTTTAAACCCCACCCCTATCTTTAAACCCCACCCCTATCTTTAAACCCCACCCCTATCTTTAAACCCCACCCCTATCTTTAAACCCCACCCCTATCTTTAAACCCCACCCCTATCTTTAAACCCCACCCCTATCTTTAAACCCCACCCCTATCTTCAAACCCCACCCCTATCTTTAAACCCCACCCCTATCTTTAAACCCCACCCTTATCTTTAAACCCCACCCCTATCTTTAAACCCCACCCCTATCTTTAAACCCCACCCCTATCTTTAAACCCCACCCCTATCTTTAAACCCCACCCCTATCTTTAAACCCCACCCCTATCTTTAAACCCCACCCCTATCTTTAAACCCCACCCCTATCTTTAAACCCCACCCCTATCTTCAAACCCCACCCCTATCTTCAAACCCCACCCCAATCTTTAAACCCCACCCCTATCTTTTAACCCCACCCCTATCTTTAAACCCCACCCCTATCTTTAAACCCCACCCCTATCTTTAAACCCCACCCCTATCTTTAAACCCCACCCCTATCTTTAAACCCCACCCCTATCTTCAAACCCCACCCCAATCTTTAAACCCCACCCCTATCTTTAAACCCCACAATTATCTTTAAACCCCACCCCTATCTTTAAACCCCACCCCTATCTTTAAACCCCACCCCTATCTTTAAACCCCACCCCTATCTTTAAACCCCACCCCTATCTTTAAACCCCACCCCTATCTTTAAACCCCACCCCTATCTTTAAACCCCACCCCTATCTTTAAACCCCACCCCTATCTTTAAACCCCACCCTATCTTTAAACCCCACCCTCTGGCCATGGACACAACCTACCTTTGTTGGAGATGTAGTCGTTCTCCATTTTGCTGCGCGCCTGTAACTCTTGGATCTCGTTCTGCCAGTGCCAGGCCAGGGCGGTCAGTCTCTTAGACTCGGATCTCTTTAGTGCCCTCGTCTTTCTGATCTCCTTCTGGCTTGGAGAAACACAGTCTAGAGCAAGGCTAGGTTAAGTAGGCTAATGCCTAGGTCCGGCTAGGTTAAGTAGGCTAATGCCTAGGTCATATTAGGTTAGGTAGGCTAATGCCTAGGTCCGGCTAGGTTAAGTAGGCTAATGCCTAGGTCCGGCTAGGTTAAGTTGGCTAATGCCTAGGTCCGGCTAGGTTAAGTAGGCTAAGGCCTAGGTCCGGCTAGGTTAAGTAGGCTAATGCCTATGTCCGGCTAGGTTAAGTAGGCTAATGCCTAGGTCCGGCTAGGTTAAGTAGGCTAAGGCCTAGGTCCGGCTAGGTTAAGTAGGCTAATGCCTAGGTCCGGCTAGGTTAAGTAGACTAATGCCTAGGTCCGGCTAGGTTAAGTAGGCTAATGCCTAGGTCCGGCTAGGTTAAGTACGCTAATGCCTAGGTCCGGCTAGGTTAAGTAGGCTAATGCCTAGGTCTGGCTAGGGTAAAGTAGGCTAATGCCTAGGTCATATTAGGTTAGGTAGGCTAATGCCTAGATCTGGCTAGGTTAAGTAGGCTAATGCCTAGGTCATATTAGGTTAGGTAGGCTAACGCCTAGGTCTGGCTAGGTTAAGTAGGCTAATGCCTAGGTCTGGCTAGGTCAACGTTTATATCTGAGTCAATGTGGTAGAAGGGTAGAGTGTTCGACTGCTAACCCGAAAATCTCGAGTTCGGATACAGGGCTCGAGTCCGTAGGTCTCATATTCCGAGGTCACTAAAAGTTAAGTTAATAATGCTGTAAGTAGGTTCAAGTCTATATCAGGTTAAACATCAGGCACTCCCCTACCCTCAGGTGCTTGATCCTCTCATCCCACCTCAGGGGTTCCTGGAACTTGTCGATAAGCCCCATACGCTTACACCGGGCCTGATCAAAAGACTCCTGCAGCGACTGGTAGGAACATTTCTAGAGCGGTGGAATACACGAATTTAAGAAGCGAGGTTGGAATACACGAGTTTAAGAAGCGAGGTTAGACATGTAGAGCGGTGGAATACACGAGTTTAAGAAGCGAGGTTGGAATACACGAGTTTAAGAAGCGAGGTTGGAATACACGAGTTTAAGAAGCGAGGTTGGACATGTATAGCTGTGGAATACACGAGTTTAAGAAGCGAGGTTGGAATACACGAGTTTAAGAAACGAGGTTGGACATGTATAGCTGTGGAATACACGAGTTTAAGAAGCGAGGTTGGAATACACGAGTTTAAGAAACGAGGTTGGACATGTAGAGCGGTGGAATACATGAGTTTAAGAAGCGAGGTTGGAATACACGAGTTTAAGAAGCGAGGTTGGACATGTAGAGCGGTGGAATACATGAGTTTAAGAAGCGAGGTTGGACATGTAGAGCGGTGGAATACATGAGTTTAAGAAGCGAGGTTGGACATGTAAAGCGGTGGAATACACGAGTTTAAGAAGCGAGGTTGGACATGTAAAGCGGTGGAATACACGAGTTTAAGAAGCGAGGTTGGAATACACGAGTTAAAGAAGCGAGGTTGGACATGTAAAGCGGTGGAATACACGAGTTTAAGAAGCGAGGTTGGCCATGGTGTCTAAGTATAAATAGGAGGGCGTGAGATGTGATAGAAGTAAATAAAGTTTACGATTGATGAGGTCGTTTGGGAAGAATAACGTGTTTATTGTTTCTATTATCACGAATATGATTGCTTCTCATTTTATATGTCCGGTTTTTTTTTGGGGGGGGGGGGGGGGGGGAATGAGAATCCTTCACTACCATCGTCTAACCATTAAAACCCTTCACTACCATCGTCTAACCATTAAACCCCTTCACTACCATCGTCTACCCATTAAACCTTTTATTACCATCGTCTAACTATTAAACCCCTTCACTACCATCGTCTAACCATTAAACCCCTTCACTACCATCGTCTAACCATTAAACCCCTTCACTACCATCGTCTAACCATTAAACCCCTTCACTACCATCGTCTAACCATTAAACCCCTTCACTACCATCGTCTAACCATTAAACCCCTTCACTACCATCGTCTAACCATTAAACCCCTTCACTACCATCGTCTACCCATTAAACCTTTTATTACCATCGTCTAACCATTAAACACATTCATTACCAATGTCTAACCATCTAACCATCTAACCGTCTAACCATCTAACCGTCTACTAACCATTAAGTGGATGCAGTTTGACCTTGCCTTACCTGAACCAGTTCCGATACGACCCCAGAGAAAATTTTGCGAACGAACTTTAAATTTCTCTGCCTCATCGCCGCCTCGCTAGCTCCGCGGCCGCGAACATCTTTTTCCGTTATAACCTATTCAGAATATACTGTTATATATACATACTGACATTTGTACGCTTACACTTACATGTATAGATATACATCGGGAACCCGTCTACGTCCCGTATACACTCAAGTCTTACGTTATGTCTTGTTAGTTATTGTTGTGTCCCTTGTATTAGATATATCATAGTTATGTCCCTTGAGCTTGTAGTCTGTGTTTACTTAAAAGTGAGTGACAAAGGACTAAGACGTGTTTTTGGAGTTTGTTCTCTAAGGATTGAATACAAATCTTCAGTAAACCTGATGGTGTCTCGAGTTGTGGTACAACCAGTGGAGTAAATTAACGACACGTACACCTACTCTTACACTTCAACACTCACATACACACACAAACACACAATCACACATAATTGTATATACTTATGGTCATCGAAAAAAACATAAATTAACATTACATGTAGTATTAAATAACTACAGTTATTAAATTACAGTATTTCAGTATTGAATAACTACAGTTCGGAAAATTGAGAAATAAATTTTATAATTCTGTTCCTTAATTAAATTAATTTAAAATGTACGGGCTTTATAAAACTTATATTATTTCTTGAAAATTTGTTTTTGTTGGATAAATCAGTATTTATTTTTACATTCAAATTTTATATATATATATATATATATATATATATAAAAATTGAAATGACGCTTACAGAGGCAGAGTCGCACGAATGGGCCTTTACTTCCTCCAAACCTCGTGTGATCTCGTTGACACGTCTCTCAAGGACAGGCTCGTAGTTATGCCGCACGGATAGGAAGTCTTGCTGTGGATAGAGCAGGGCCACTACAGTCACAGAACGAATCCACCAGCGGATCAGTTCAAACCTCCAGTACACTGACACAATGCCAGTGGCTAAGCCATGAGTTTTGTATGGGGATGTTAACTTTCAGTACACTGACACAATGCCAGTGGCTAAGCCATGAGTTTTGTATGGGGATGTTAACTTTCAGTACACTGACACAATGCCAGTGGCTAAGCCATGAGTTTTGTATGGGGATGTTAACTTTCAGTACACTGACACAATGCCAGTGGCTAAGCCATGAGTTTTGTATGGGGATGTTAACTTTCAGTACACTGACACAATGCCAGTGGCTAAGCCATGAGTTTTGTATGGGGATGTTAACTTTCAGTACACTGACACAATGCCAGTGGCTAAGCCATGAGTTTTGTATGGGGATGTTAACTTTCAGTACACTGACACAATGCCAGTGGCTAAGCCATGAGTTTTGTATGGGGATGTTAACTTTCAGTACACTGACACAATGCCAGTGGCTAAGCCATGAGTTTTGTATGGGGATGTTAACTTTCAGTACACTGACACAATGCCAGTGGCTAAGCCATGAGTTTTGTATGGGGATGTTAACTTTCAGTACACTGACACAATGCCAGTGGCTAAGCCATGAGTTTTGTATGGGGATGTTAACTTTCAGTACACTGACACAATGCCAGTGGCTAAGCCATGAGTTTTGTATGGGGATGTTAACTTTCAGTACACTGACACAATGCCAGTGGCTAAGCCATGAGTTTTGTATGGGGATGTTAACTTTCAGTACACTGACACAATGCCAGTGGCTAAGCCATGAGTTTTGTATGGGGATGTTAACTTTCAGTACACTGACACAATGCCAGTGGCTAAGCCATGAGTTTTGTATGGGGATGTTAACTTTCAGTACACTGACACAATGCCAGTGGCTAAGCCATGAGTTTTGTATGGGGATGTTAACTTTCAGTACACTGACACAATGCCAGTGGCTAAGCCATGAGTTTTGTATGGGGATGTTAACTTTCAGTACACTGACAGAATGCCAGTGGCTAAGCCATGAGTTTTGTATGGGGATGTTAACTTTCAGTACATTGACAGAATGCCAGTGGCTAAGCCATGAGTTTTGTATGGGGATGTTAACTTTCAGTACACTGACACAATGCCAGTGGCTAAGCCATGAGTTTTGTATGGGGATGTTAACTTTCAGTACATTGACAGAATGCCAGTGGCTAAGCCATGAGTTTTGTATGGGGATGTTAACTTTCAATACACTCACAGAATGCTAGTGGCTTAGCCTGAGTTTTGTATGGGGATGTTTTAAACCTCACAGAACAACACCAACATACGCCACTGACATATCCGCCAGGATAAATTTTACAGTCCTTACCAGAGGCGTAGCGACCCTTATCGGCGCCCGTGGAAAAACTCAATTTGGCGACCCCCCCCCCCCCCCACAGTTGACAAACTTTCCATTTTGAGCCCACCCCCCATGAATTTTTTTTATATTTATAATGCAAAACTGCAGCTAAAATGAGCTTTTAAGTTTTTTCCAAACTATTTTGGCGCCCCCTAAGGTCGGCGCCCGGGGACATATGTACCCCCCTCGCTACGCCTCTGGTCATTACCCTCTTAGAACTATATAATTATATATATATATAAATATATATATATATATATATATATATATATATATATATATATATATATATATATATATATATATATATATATATATATATATATATATGTGTGTGTGTGTGTGTGTGTGTGACCCTATCTCCACATACTAAATCCTGTCGAACCCCTCGCAGCATATACCTATTGCTACTTCTTCCCCCCTCCCTTTCTTTAACCCCATGTATTAGAACACCCCTTCTCACTTCTCCGTCATCAGCTGAAATAGCTCTACCATATCATCAGTAACTTATCCCTGTCCCACCTCCCCCCTTCTCCCACCCACAGCTATACTGCCTCACCGTTCATTAACTTGCTGATACCTTAGCCCCTACCCCCAACCCAAGGTAAAACACCCCCAACCCCACATTGAACTATACGTACCTGTTGGACGCCCATTTTTACCGTTGGCCTAAAGACACCTTTCTCGTAGGCTATGGAGTCTTTGCCCCGTATCTCCAGGGCGGGGGCGTCAAGCGTGTGGGCCAGTATGTCCAGTTTGTCGGCAAATTCTTCAAACACCACCGCGAGGTTGACGGCATCAATGGACGACAATCTGGAACACGAACACTCGTTGTCATGACGACAGACTACAACATGAACATTCGTTGCCATGACGACAGCCTACAACATGAACATTGGTCGCCATGACGACAGCCTACATTTTAAATTCGCGTTATTTTCTTCTAATTCTACATGGATTTTAACTTTGAGATCTTAACAGTTTGTTGTACCCTGTGGAAGATTAGGAGTGTGTGTGTGTGGGGGGGGGGGGGGGGGGTGGGGGGGGGTGGAAGATCATTCCCCAGTGGAAGATCAAGTATAGAGATTCAATAACTAGCAGAAGGTTGGGGGTGGAGGTGGGGGTCAGTCCCTAGATGAAGATTGTAGATATGTTCATTTCCTAGTGAAATATTGGGGTTGGGTTTAGTCCCTAGTGGAATATCTGGGTTGGGTTCAATCCCCAGTGAAAGATTTCACTGACTCACATAAAAGGTGGTTTTTTGTAGCGCTTCAGGTGTTTCTTGTCAATCATGCTGGCAATGTGTTCACAGCTCATGGTGGACTCGCTTGAAGGAGCTCTGGATAGACGTCGATGTGACTCTGGCTAGCCTGATGGTCGAGGGGCGTCTAGACTGAGTCGATATGACTGGCTATCCTGTTTGTGGAGGGGGGTCTAGACGGACGTCGATATGACTCTGGCTAGCCTGCTGGTGGAGGGGGGTCTAGACGGACGTCGATATGACTCTGGCTAGCCTGCTGGTGGAGGGGGGTCTAGACGGACGTCAATATGACTCTGGCTAGCCTGCTGGTGGCGGGGTGGTTAAGATGGACTTCAAGAGGATAAAGCTGGAAACGAGAATACCAACAAATTGAAACAAAGGTTTTGCTAAAATTTATATTAAAAACCACCCTAGTTTTACAATTTATCATTAGAATTTTACAACTGTTAGCAAAACATGTTTCTTTAAATTTCCTCTTTTATTTCTCATTTTTTCATTTTTTTTTTCATAGAGCCCATACACAACTGTATGTTTTAAATAGAATACGACCATCTTCTAGTAAAGTTTCAAACCTGACGGTCCATGGGGCTAGTGAAATAGAGTTCACCTTTTCAGTGACCTCGGCATTTGAGGAATAGTGTAGTCAGCACTATGCCCAGCCATCTTTACTTTCCCCAACGTGAGTAAGGTACCCATTAGAGCTGGATGTGACATTCTACGTACTTGAACCCGGAATCAAACTCGACACTTTCAGGTTATCAGTTGTATACTCTACTATTCGACTACTCCGTTCCATGATCTAGTAAAGCTAGACAATTAAATTTTGTAGCAATGTGAAGCTTTTTGTTTCCTCTATTTAACTAGTTTTGGGATAAAATACTCAAACATAAATGAGTCATCTCACAGCTTGCTCTAGCTGGAACAACTTGTGGATCGCCACACATTAATAAAACAGAAATCCACGTTGATGCTTCTTTTTTTGGACGTACCACTTGTATGAAATAATAGATTGAAACAATAAGGATAAGACGATTCAATTGATCGATGAATTCATAGATTTGATATTTACAAATGTTTTCAACAACTTCGTACACTTTTCAATCACAAGTTTAAACAGGAGTCTACGTTCATTTTACTTCTCATTGTGTGCGCACCAAACATCACTTCAGTGCGTAATACGTATTTCTTCAGTACGCACAGTCGGTTAAAGATGGCTGTTATAAGTTGCTTGTAGGCCATAGCGAAATGTCTTAATACATTGCATTTTTACTTAGTATTTATTTACTTAGTATAAAAATGATATTCTCTTGGTATCCTCTATAGATGTGGATCTTAATCTTTTGTGAGGTACCGAACCTCACTAGTTTTAGATGCGCATTCAACAAACCCTTTTAATAATTCTATCGTCTGACACAATCAGATCAGTGTCTAAGCTGCTGTTGCATATAGAAATGTTTTAAACGTTGTGAGGTCTAAGTTGAAAAAGCTAGTCATCATTATGGGATATGGGTGGTCTGAGAACAATTTACAATTACGAGTTACACTCAGTGGGCCGCTTTATCATTTCCCAGAATTCAAACACTACATTGTAGTCTACGCCGTTTGTATGAGTAAACGATGCTTTAGCCAAATTTGGCTTTTTCAAGTAGTTCCAGGATTCAATTGTAAAACACAAAAGTAACCAAATGCATCAGACAAACGTATTTAGCAGTCGCTTATGAAGGCTGCTCTCAGGTTCAACGATAAGGATAAGCCGTGGTGATTTTTTAACATGTATTTTGTCTTGGCTCAACACGGTTGTAAAACAAAGCCAGATAACTCATCTTTGATTGTTGAAATCAAGGTGGCCGCTAGCTTTACCTGACTGCTTTACCTGACTGCTTTACACCGCTTAGCTACTCACACGTCTTAACTAGTAGATGAGTGTTGAGATGGCTCCATACAATATGTTAACGTTTTATCAACCAACCCAACTTACCTGAGGCAAGTCGAACAAGCCACTGGTGAAAATAGTTGCTAACTGCCCAGCTTGATAGAAACACACGAGAGTCCGAGAACACAAGTTGAACACAAAACTAAAAGAAAATCACAACGTTAAATTAATCATGTTATGTTAATTGTATTTAATTAATATGCTGGCAGGGGTCGGCGTGGTCGAGTCGGTAAAGCTCATGGTTGCTAAACCGAAAAAGTCTCGAGTTCGAACCCTCGGGCAGATGAGGCTCGTTAGCTGGGGACAGCCACTCTTCTAGGAGAGACAACTCCAAAAGTAAACAACTGCTGCCTTGTAGTTTGTTCTTGGTTGGACAAAGGCTATGGAAGCAAATCCAAAAAGAAAAGCAGGCTGAAATCGGAGTCAATGGCCTCAATGGCGCATAACCAGTTGACACGTATTCCTTAATTGTGATGGAAGCATGGTCGAGTCGGCAAAGCTCATTGTTGATAAATTCGAAAAAGTCTCGAGTTCAAACCTTCTGGCAGATAAGGCTCGATCCCTCCCAACACTAAAAATTACGAACGAAGAAGAAGAAATATGTTGGCTCCCAAGTGTACGCATCGGATATAAGTTCACAGCAACTAATTCGCTAAAGTGTTTATCAAATAGTTAAAAAATTATTAAAAATGAGTCCATAAAAAATGCCAAAATTAACACTTCATTGTATTGATTACTTCATGAAAAATTACAACTTTGAAATTTTTTTTATATCGATACATTTAATTTGTAACTTATTCGATAACGACAGAAGTTTGTATACGGTGCCGGCACTGTACCATCAGAAAACAGAAAATGTGTCACATGGTGTTTGTCTTTCTACAGTAACAATAGGCTTGGTCGACAGGAAGAGAATTGATCGAGAAC